TCCTTCGGATGAGATGTAAAACCGAGGTCCTGACTCTCTGTGGTCAATAAGAATCCCAGGGTGTTTCTCGAAAATAGTAGGGGTGTAACCCTGGCGCCCTGGCCAAATTTCCCATTGGCTCTTACCAATTAATAACCTCCTAATAATCCCCATCTATCAATTGACTTCATTACTCTGCTCTCCTCCCCACGGATAGCTGGTGTGTGGTGTGTGGTGTGTGGTGTGTGGTGTGTGGTGTGTGTTCTGGTGCACTATGGCTGCTGTCACATTGGTGGTGGAGGGGAGTCCCCATTACCTTTAAAGCACTTTGAGTGGAGTGTCATATATATAAGTGTAAGCAATTCTTAATTATTATTATACAAGTAACCCTCTCTGCTGGTCAAATGAATCTCCCAACCAATTAACTGACTTTTTCAGTCAATAGGTTTAAAAGAAGGACAGCACGATCAGAAACAGCCGCATACTGTAGTTCAGAGCATCTCTGAACCTCTCCTGCACATCTGCGAGTTATTGAATACCCGTCAGAAGATCCTAGATCAGGAGAGGTGCTTAAACTGTGCATTTTAGACCGGGACTGTCCAATTCAGAACTGTTAATCCGGACACGCAAAACTGAAAGATCGTTGGGGTTTAAGTGGTCCGGTTAAGCCAGTAACCCAGACGGTTTTGGTTTTCACGAGCAGCACTTGAATGACAGCTCGCAGATACTCCGCCCCTCCAGAATCCGAGCTAGGACAGCCCTTTTACTAGACGGAACCTCAAACTCCGGTCGGCTACATTGAATCTGTCCTTTCCGCAAACACTGCGACTGTGCAGTTAACACGGAGAGACAATAAGAAAACTAGCCCCATGATGACGCCGCAGACATTATGCTGCGCCTGAAATCTCCGAGACTTTCTACATCTGGAAAAGCCAGATCTTCCGGGACTTCAGAGATTTGGAGTATCTGTATTACAGATTCAGGCGTGTTTTTGAAAACAGAAAAAAAAAAACACAGTCGATTTTGCGAGCTGTACCAATGGGACAGATTTTCTACCGATGTTGCTATTTATTATTAGCTATTAATTACTAAACGTATTCTGACCAATGCCAGAAATTATATCAAGGACCGAAAAAAAATGAGAGGATACACCGAAACGAACATCGCTAAGCAAAAAAAAAGGGGTTTTCTTTATATACCGGCTCTATATCTTAATTGCCCAATCCCACCAAAAACCAATACAAACTCACATTAATTAAGTAATAAAAAAGATCGTTGCTTTAAGGAATTCAAACACAGAGAATCCAATCTGTAAAGTTTACACTTAACGAGGGCCAGATAGAAACAATACAGAAACTTCCAACTCAGATGTGTATCCAGAAACGCAGTGTTAAAGATGAACGGAATTCTTTCTGTACGGTTTTGCTGAAGAGCCTAATTAATCATGACAAAAAATCACTTTTATGTTTAATCTTTACGACGATTTTTAGCCTCGGAGAGTGATATTCTTACCTGCCTCCATCCTCCGGCTGTCAACTGGGTTTAAAGCGGTGAAATAAAAAAATAGTGCGCGCTGCACTGTGGGGAATGTAGTTCCTGGTGGTGGCATCTCTGGGCGACGATAGGGATCATAAACTACAACTACCGGTAGGCAATGTTATGGTACTAGGCGTTAATAGAAACTGAAAACACTGAGGTGCGTTGTGGGTATTGGTGTTTCACGGGTAGGTTTCATTTCCAGTGCCTAATTCCGTTATTTTTATTATTATTACTACTACTACTACTACTACTACTACTTCTTAAAATGCTTTAGAGATTTTGTTCTTCATCCAAAAGCAAAAACACTCCAGAAACTCTTGTCCAGAGATTTATGTCTTTCCACCACCATGCTTGATAAAAGAGCAAGTACAGTCCAGAACGGTTGCCCAAAAAAGAATGAACCCTAAAGTGTAAACAGATACTGTACTCGACAGTAATATAACTGCCCACCCTCTTCAAAACTGTTCCTACTCTACACTTTCATTGTATGATCCAGTATTACTGCAATTTCTGAGCTTTGTATTGTAATGCTTTTCTTTTAACAACAATAGTCTGTACTTTTAGATCTTGGAATTTGTAGCTGATAGTGTTTTCGTGTGGTGGTTGTGCTACATAATGTTATTGCAGCGCACTGATTTTTTACATATCACATTTTCTTTTCTCCAGTATAAGAACTGCACAGGATGGGCCCATCTGCGATATATAAATAATTTATTTGATACAACATAAAGGCAAAGTCCGACAAACATAATCAACTATGAACACATGGGTTTTTCTAAAGGTAATACGGTCATCTTCAGTATTTTCCCAGTGTCTTAAATACAGTACTTGTTTTTTCATTGTATAAAACAATCAATGATTGGTTGCATTTGATCCCAAAATACCAACCAGCAATACCAACATACAGCAGACCAGGTGGTGAGGAGAGAAATTATTTCACCATTTAATTTAGGGGAGACTTTAAGAAGGCCTGCATTTCCACATTGAATTGAATGTATTCAGAAAACTGGGGTTAATATCCCTAAAATTTGGAAAAGTGCAATTTATTTTTACATTTAATAACCAAGAAGTCAGGAACTCAGTTTGAAAGTCTCAATGAAAGACGGCACCTATTTCAGCACACTGTCTCTGTCACCACACAGGGACATTGGATTGTGAATTATTATAATGAATGTACCCAGCATCTATATCATACTGTAACTCACAACTGGCAATCCACTGAAGTGCAGCAGGTTTGAGCCTGGCCTGCACCTGGATGGGAGACCTCCTGGGAAAAGCTATAGTTGCTAGTGGAAGAGGTGATAGTGGGGCCAGTAGGTCCTGACTCTCTGTTGTCATTAAAAATCCCAAGGCACTTCTTGAAAAGAGTAGGGGTGTAACCCTGGTATCCTGGCCTCCTAATAATCTATGACTTGGCTTCATTACTCCGTTCTTCAACCCACTGATAGCTGATGTGTGGAGAGCCTACTGTCCACAGTTTGGTTGTCATTTCATCGTTAAGGTGGATGCTGCACATTATGCAAGAAATTCTTTCTTCTTATTATTATTAAATTCTGTTATGGGGGAAGAGAACCACCTACTGGTCCACCAGTGCTACTTATAGCAGGTGCCCAGTTTTCATGGCGATCTACCATTCCAGTACTGACCAGGCCCAGTCTTCTCAGCTTTTCAGATCTGGCAACACCTTCCTAATTTGCCCTCTACTATTACTACATTGAGTCTTTATACCTTATATGATGTTAAATTCTATTTTGAAAGCTTGTAATGATACCTTTTTTATTTAAAACGGCGATTCTGACTCGTAGATTTAGATTGCTGTGTCTTATATAATGATGGGTCAATCTCCCTTACAAGTGAGTAGGCGGCTCCTGACTGGGGTAACCATGGAAACGAGACAGCTCCCACTGCCGTAAAGCACCATGATATAGACGTGAAATTGTCAGGTCCGTTTACGGGTGGTTTGTGTCGTCTTAGATCGGCAACAAAATAAAAGGGAAAAGAGGCATATTTTTTCGGTTCTTTTGCAAAACATAATCAGGTAATGGGTAATAGTGCTGCTTTCGGGAAGTTTGCTTAAAACTGCTTATGTAAATACGATGCATGTAAGCGAGTCGTCTTGATTATGAAGGATTTTTGAAAGGATGTTTTGAGCAGAATCCAATTTAGTGGATCTGTGACGGCTTAGGTGCATCCTAAATTATTTCTTTTCTTTGCTGGAATGTATTTATATTTTATACGAATCTTGGCGTGCATCTGTGCTTAAACATAGGCATCACCCGTTAAGGTACGTCTCGGTTTAGCTCGGGAGGTCCAGGCGATGTCGTGTGTTTATTAATTTGTGATGTAATGGTTTACTATCGGCTCTCTGTTGCGGTGCAGAGTTGGGGCGTACCTGTGGGATCGGTGTGTACCCAGATGAGCGCATCCGATCCGAAGGGGGCGGATGTGAACTCTCCTTTTCTGCGCTTGATGGAGATTTCGTTCTTTATGTTACGATGTTTATGGGACCGCACTCGTGACGCAGTAATTTTGTATTAAAAATAAAAGCAAATCTGGAAAAATGTATTAAATCTTTTCTCGCTTCGTTAACCGTACATGTTTTTTTTAGGGTTAATGTCCAAATGATGACAGGCTCTCATAGCACAGTGCGAGTTTGAGGGTGTGACAGACGCGCCGCCTATCTTACCCCAACACCACTTCGCTAAAAGTTAACTTTCCAACACACCCTTCCCGGCGCTTGTTTTTTTGTCCCGCAGGTACCCTGGACTTTACCGACACCCACTCAGACATGTCGTATGTCTTCATCAATGACTCTTCCCAAACGAACGTGCCCCTGCTGCAGGCTTGCATCGACGGGGACCTGAACTACTCGAAGCGCCTCCTGGAAAGCGGCTTCGATCCCAATATCCGGGACAACCGCGGTCGTACGGGGCTGCACCTGGCGGCGGCCCGCGGCAACGTGGAGATCTGCCGGCTGCTGCACAAGTTCGGGGCCGACCTGCTGGCCACGGACTACCAGGGCAACACCGCGCTGCACCTCTGCGGCCACGTCGACACCATCCAGTTCCTGGTCTCGAACGGGCTCAAAATTGACATCTGGTAGGTGCAGACCCCCGTCTGTCCCATGTCAGAGTGCTGGGAACTCTTCCGCCCTTTGGGAGGCTGGGGCCTCAACCCGTCTCCTTGTGTTCCTGGCACAGCAATCACAACGGCGCCACTCCCCTGGTGCTGGCGAAGAGGAGAGGGGTCAACAAGGACGCCATCCGGCTGCTGGAGGGCCTGGAGGAGCAGGAGGTGAAGGGCTTCAACCGGGGGGCACACTCCAAGCTGGAGTCCATGCAGCTGGCCGAGAGCGAGAGGTGGGTGTGGGAGGAAGAGAGAGCCTTCTGGAGTACTGCTTGTGTACCGTTCTTATGGGTCTGGCAGTCTGCCGAGACCCAGTTTCTAAAGTTCCGGCCAAAGCTGACACCAAAGCTGTAGTACTTTGTCTTGTTACTTGTGTGTGATTTTGGTAGTATGAAACAGAATGGTACACGAGGAGTGCACCTGTGATTTGTAGGCACATTTACTGAAGCAGAAAGGTTATGAGACTTGAGCTTTCTAAAGGCTATTCCATCAGTGCCCTCTACAGTTTGAATGGAAACAGCCTCATAACTTTACTTCTTTACCATCCGGAGTGGTTGATGTTAATGTGTTTTGCTAGCTAATGATCAACTTGAAAAGACTTCTCCCTTCCTGTACCGGCAATACTGTTTAATGAGAAAAGAGCTTCCAAAAGTTTTACCTCAGATAACCTGAGAACACGTAAATGGCAAAACCTTTCAAAACTTGATTCCAGCATCACATCTGCGTCATCTGATACTGGTTCAGTTCAAAAACAGGGCATTGGCAGTAAATGTCAGCAGCCATATTACCCTGCAACTCACAACTGGCAACCCACTGAAGCTCAGCAGATGTGAGCCTGGTCAGTACCTGGATGGGAGACCTCCTGGGAAAAACTAAGGTTGATGCTGGAAGAGGTGTTAGTGGGGCCAGCAGGGAGTGCTCACCCTGCAGTCTATGTGGGTCCTATTGCCCCAGTATGGTGATGAGGACACTGTACTGTAAAAAGGTGCCGTCCTTCTGATGAGATGCAAGAGAGAGGTCCTGACTCTCTGTGGTCATTAAAGTTCCCAGGGCATTTCTCAAAATGAGAAGGGATGGAGCCCCGGTGTCCTGTCCAAAGTTTGCATCTTGGCCTCCTAATAATCCCCATCTATGAATTGGTTTCATTACTCTGTTCTCCTCCCCACTATTGGCTAATGTGTGGTGAGTGTTCTGGTGCACTATGGCTGCAGGTACATTGGTGGTGCTGGAGGGGAGTTCCCATTACCTGGAAAGCGCTTTGAGTGGAGTGTCCAGAAAAGGGCTATATAAACTCAAGCAATTATTATTATAAATGCCTTACTTTCACCCCAAATTACAATAATCTGTGCTGTAAACGTTAAAGAAGCAGTTTTAGACACTGAGACAATAGAATGTAATGGTAGTGTAACTGTTAGTGTTGTTGCCTCACAATTCTTTGGTGAATTTTTAACCACCTTATGGAAGGAGTTTACATGTTCCCCACCAACTCCCCTTCATTTCTGGTATGCCCTCACCTTCCTATGACTTCCTGGTGAGGGTCATTGGTAATTCTGCATTGTCCCTGTGGACCTGTGTGTGCCCTCTGTGGTCTGCACTGGCCTTGCATACCACTCAGGGTGTAGTCCTGCCTGGATAGGCTCTGGGTTACCGTGAGCAGGTATTAGCAGGAGCAGCTGCAAGGATTCTGGGCCAAGAGCTGGAAGATTGTGGGTTCAGTTCCCAGGTGAGATAGAGTTGTTGTGCCCTTGAACAAAGTACATCACCCATATTGCTCCAGTAAAATACCCTGCTGTATAAGCAGGTACACGTCATGTGCTTTGGAGTGTGGCATTATGTGGGGCTGGGCCCAGGGTGGAGACCTGCTGGAAGGGGCAACGCCTCGCCTTTGTAGTCCCAGCTGTTTTGGCTTCCAGGTGTTGAGCCCCAGCTGGGCGGGTCCTATATAGGCACACGGGACACCCTCCGACGGGACAAGCAGGGCCACCCCCGGAAGGGGGGAGTTTACACCGAGTGTCCTGGTGGGTGATTGCAACCGCATAAAGTTCTTTTGCCTGTCCCATCATGCAGGCATACATGTGTATTTTAAAAAAAAAAATGTATTTAGTTCATGTTTTGTTCTTGCCTTACACACCCTGCTCACCAGACTGCACCCCACTAAATAGGGTAAATCCAGGCTGGTTACTGCTGTGCTAGCGGCTCTTTTCTTCCCCGAGGCTGGACCTAGTTAAATAGGGTAAGCCCACCCTGGAGGTCACGGAGCACAGGGGTACTCTTTCTTTTTCCACATTATTTTTGGTCCCTGCTGACCTCACACCAGTGCTCCTGTCCCCTCACCTGGGGCGTGGACTTCTTACTGGTGCTTACAAAGCTTAACAGGAGTTGAGGTAGTCAGATCCAAGACCAGTGCACCTGGTCGATGGTGTACCTCCATTCTGAAGTATTGACCTGTGTGTCTACAGCGCGATGGAGAGCCACTCCCTTCTGAACCCCAACCTCCAGCACAGCGAGGGGGTGCTCTCCAGCTTCCGCACCACCTGGCAGGAGTTCGTGGAGGACCTGGGCTTCTGGAGGGTGCTGCTGCTCATCGTGGTCATCGCCCTGCTGTCTCTGGGCATCGCCTACTACGTCAGCGGGGTGCTGCCCTTTGTGGAGAACCAGCCCGAGCTGGTGCACTAGGAGGACTCCAGTGGGGGCGGGGACGGGGTTTCTCTTTCATCAGTGCGGACAGACTGTGCTCTCTCTGTTCACTCATCCCACTTCACTTTTACCATTGGCCACTGCACGGTGCTGCCTGCTCATTCCACGTAGGCTGGAGTTTCGATTTAGATACTTTCCTTTGCTGTAAACTGCCCAGCAACGTCTTCAGAGCTTTTTCAGGTAACGTAGTGTCTTTTATATGAAAGACAAGGGGTGGCAGAATGCACGTCTTCTCCAGAAGTGTGTGCAGAGGAAGTACTTCAGGGGAAGTGCACATGTCCTTGCAAAATCATTGCGAACAATGACCACATTTTACTGCATTATCAATAAGATGTGCTGTAATATATAACAAGAAAAGCATCTCCAACTATGCTTCACTTTTGATTGAAGATAGGGAGTGTTAGTTGCTTCTAGAAATAAATGTCAGACTAGGCTAGCCGTCTTCACGAGATGAAAATTGTTCTTTTTCTTAAAAAAAAAAAAAAATTATTTAAATTAAGAACCACTTTATTTTAGGCTTTCGGATTCAGATTTTGTTTGGTTACACCTGAACTGTCTTACTCTTCTTTTCCATTCAGGAGATGGAATTACGTTTCACTGCAGCATGATCCACTCACAGCCCAAGGCAAACCCTAGGTGCCAGTCCTGTAATGCTGTTAATTTGATAGTAAATATTCACAAACCCTCCCTTGTTCTGCGATTCTTGCAGTCAGTCCTCAGCAGGTTGGTCATTGCTGAATTAATCTTTATCAGTGGTCCATGATCCGTGGTTTGTGATGTAACGTTCATCAGCTGCTATCCAGCTTGCATGCCAGAATTTGTCCCAATAATAGAACCCCTGGTTGAGCAGTTGTCAAGATCTTCTGAAGATGTGGCAATACAGGGTAGTGCAGTGCCTTTAGTTAGTAGTCATGGTCCTATTAGACAGAAATCAGGTACAGGTGGTCTGTAGCAGTTGCTCAGTGTTCAGGCACAGTAGTAGATCTGATTCTACAAAAGTCTATAATAATCTCTCTAGTAAGGCATCATTACCAGTATTTGTTGGTCTATCTTTTAATTATATAGGTGTTACTGATGTTAAGGCTAAGCAGAATGGAGCAAAAACACTTAGAGAAAGGTTATAGCTTAAATATCATGCACATTAAGTTTTCCATTCTCTTCACAGTAAACCTTATGCGTAGAATTATGGGTAATATTCGTTGTGCAAGACAAGCATGATGTACTTGCAAAATCATTACTAACCATAAACACATTTTACAGCATTAGCATTAAGATACAGTATATATACTGTAGCAAGAACAGCCTCTCAATTAATGCTTTGCTTTCAATTAAAGATAAGGAATTTCAGTTGTCTCTGCCTCCAGTATTATTTCTACATGAAGTTACTGGAGGAATGTTTGTGTCTGGTTAAAGCAATGCATCTTGCATAGAGATATTTCTTTAGTGCAACCCTTTTTATTAAATTCTTAAGAAATACATTGGATCTCTTGTTTTCAAAGCCAGTGGGAAGGAGGCTAAATGTCCTTTTAGGCTTTCTTTAAATAGCAACTAGTTTCAAAACGGATATTCTATATCTTTTCTTATACAAAAAAAGGCAGACATTTTTCAAGGGAGAGAAGGGGAAAATTCCTTTAAGGTTTCCACAGTAAGAAAGTGTTGTAACATTTCATTCTTAAAGCTATCCAACTTAACAACCACAGCTAATAACAGCAGCACATTAACCATGATAATTGCAGCACTGCTGGCATATCACCTTAATTTTCTGCATCTTGAGTGGTCCATCATTAAGTCTCACAGACAGAACCCAGGGGAGAGGTCAACCCCACTCAGAGTCTATCCCGTCTGCTCCGCTCAAGTTGATCTCACTACCTCTGGGTGCATCCAATTGTAACCTGACTTTTCTCCTTGATTTCCCCCATTGCCACACCTCACCAAAACACAGATTCAAAACATAGCTGAAAAGCTTCCTATGTTAACTTCAAAATGTGGAAATGCATGACTTGTAAGTAACACACAGAACGGCTGTAGTTTATTAGAAACTGATGTACTATAATTAGTGGATTGATCAGTAAACTTCAAACCAGATATGGAAAGATGGTGGAATAAATACATCAGAGAGTGGAGGCCACTTTGAATAAGTTATCATGGCAAGTTAGCCGACAGCACAGCCTATTCCTGGTTAGGTCTTTGAACCAAGTTTGCACTTGGACAAGCAACTGTCTTGCACAATACCACCCCTTGCCCATTTCTTGCAGCTAGATAAGAGTACAATAGTTTCAAAATAATTGCAGTAAAGAGTTAAACTTACTCCAGAGGGCAGGAGCTTGGATTGAGAAAGTATTTTCTGGATTAGCCTGGTCTGGGATTTTAAGGACTTTCACAGAGTTTTAAAGGTGGCTAAGTTTTGAGATTATGGGCTACAGTTGAACATTTTTAATTTATCATTAAATCTGTAGGTTTCCGTTGTCTTCCTTTTACATAATTTGTTGTTATGGATTCGAGTCTTTTCCCTTTTGTTTGTCATGAGCTTGTTTTAACTTGTAAATAAAAGGGGTTATCCCAGTGTTAAGGAATTTAGACCTGACATCTTAGATGGTTTTCACCATGAATTGGTTCTTATGAAATGTTTCAACCTGTATACTCACATTTAGACATGAAACAGTTTGTGAAACCTTCATATTTGATCATTGTTTTTTGCACATTATAAGTTTGTAGTTGTCTATGACTGCATTTTCAGTGTTGTGTTGTAGAATTTATTTCTTATCTTGAATAAACAATTAAAGCATAATCTTTTTCTCTTAACTTTGCCTTTGCAGTTTATTTTAGTCATAGTCCAGTGTAATTCCTGGTGTTTCTGAAAATGGGTTTGATTGAACGGTCAAAGATATAAAATCAAACCCTGGGGCATGAGGGTTTGATTGAACTAGCACAAAGTTCTGCACTCACATTTCATCACCAGTTGGGTTTCTGTTGAGCATTCATAGCTTACACAGAAACAATCAGACCTGCAACTTCTGTCAGTCTGTCTGTGCTACAATGGTAAAAAAACAGGATATTCAGAATATCAAGTTGAATATTCGTACACCGGGTTTATAAAAAGGGTTTGAAAAAACAGTAAAAGAATAGAAAACTTAACACCTAAAAAAAAAAACAAATAACAGGCTAACAGCCATATCACTCTGCAACTCACAACTGGCAGCCCACTGAAGCAAAGAAGAGACTGAAGAGACTAGTAGATTTTATATTGACATTTCAATCTTTTTACAATTTTATAATGGTAGAAGAAATTGAGAAAAATGGTACTTATCACTCTGTACTTCTCAGGTACAAGGTTTCTGGCTTCCCTTGAATCTCAAACAGTCAAATATCAGAAATTCCAAGCTGACAGAAAGAAAATCTTGTTTGGAGAGGTTTATTTTATAATCCAAGGCATTTTAGAGAAAAGATAAACACTAGTTCTTCATTCACAACTCTTCCACTTAGCATTAATAATCTGAGGACAAATAACCTACTCTATATAATTCTTCCAAGCATTGACTCCCTTTGAGCTGCAAAAAAAAAAACTTTCTTGACTAAGCCCCACTGAATGAAAGGCGAGCTCCTTTTTATCTATATGACATCCAGGTGATCTAATTAGGCAATGGGACACCTAAGAACTTGAGTTAATTGATAAAAAGAAACATTGAACACCTGGACAAATGTACAATTGCCACCTCTACTGGTACGAATAGTGGAACTATTGTTACATCACCACCCCAACAGGAGGTACGTAGGGTTCAAGTCAAAAATAGGGCTTGAACTAAACAATATTGATGGCATGTTTTATTATGTTGAACCATCTAATTCTGTAATTGAGAACGATCATGAAATGGCTGAGAAGTAGTGTCTCAGAGGCAACAGAGGCAGTCTAGCATCCAAGTAATACCAGCGTTAATAAATTGTTATACTGAAAAAGCTGACTTAATGGATGCCTTTAAGCAACGGTTTGCTATCAGTCATAGGTTTTTAAGCCAAGCAAGCAAGATGAACCAAGTGTTACAAACCAAATGAAGGTCTTTTGGTTTGGAGAGTTACCAGCCTAATAACTATAACAAAGCAGATAAGTCCGATTAAGGAGGATATACCTTGATTTCCACTGTCTTGAATATATGGAAATGAGAGGCAATACAGACTAGAAATCTGTGAAATTATCAGTAATTAAATGAATGAAAATTAATTGTTCTATTGCCTTTTAGGTCTTGCACATCTAGATAGACTTATAGGGCCATTAGAATTACACCAGGAATATTCATGTGGTAGTCATGTGGCATACTATCAACATCACGGCATTCAGCTGGGTCAAACTGCACACCAAGACCCTAGAGTTGATGTTTCCACTGTTAAAACATACCTGCAGCCTAGTGTGCAACTACACTCCCAGGCATGAGAGTTATCCTTGTTAATCCAAAAAAAGTATCCTTCCCAACTTGAGGTGGGTGAAGCGTCAGTTTTCAACCAGGAGTCTGAAAACATCCAGGGACCACCCAGAATCAAAAGGTCAATTTCCCCTGTAAGCATAGTACTGTCTAAAATTAGCATTCTTGCACAGATCCGTCAACTGGCAGTGGTGTTTTCAAACGTGAGGAGGCCGGTCATCCAGTCTTGCTCAATTGGTAGCTTGGCAGTACAGTGATTCTAACATTCTGTGCGGTCCAAACATTGGACTTCAACCAGCTGGATGGAAAGTGTTCAGAAGCTACAGCTCTGGGTAAAGAAGTAAGCCCTAGTCTCAGTCTTCAACAAATTCCCTTTCAGTGCCCAGGTGTGACCCAGCAACCTTATTTCACTTTCAGGTCTGAAATACTCCACCTGGGTTCATACCCTATCTGGACCCTGTAGGATTTAATTTACTCGGATCACCAACTGTTTTCAAAACCTATTGTTCAAGACAGAATAGATTAGTTCTTTACAACCTCTCTGTATACGACAAGGAATTACTTGAATGCTAGAGTCTCATTTTTACATTATGATGAACCGTACTGAGAAATGAGGTCTTAGCAAAAGCTTGAGCATAATGTCCCTAGATTTAGATTCCAGGTGTTCCTGTATCCCCTAGCAATCCATTTGCTTTGCTTATTACAAACACCATTCACATGTAGTTTGCTGCAGTTCAGAATAACCCATGTACTATGCATCCTATACCGCTTCTCCTGCATAGCTCGCTTTGTTCTTCTTAATCTTAAATATATTTTGCCAAGTGCTGGCCTACTCCATAATTTTGTCTGAGCCTTTTTGTAATTCCCTTGCTTTCTATATTTACTAACTGTAGATCAGAAAGAGCACCAGGCCCAATACGTCCCTGAGACACACCACTATCAGTCATAGACAGCAACCGTGCAATTAGCGGTTACGTCCTTTAACATTAAGGAACATTTCCTTTCTTCCCTTTTTTTTATTGTTTGTTAACCACTCTTCAATTTTTGTGTTGCCATTTGGAGTCCTTGCTGAGAGAGAAATTCGGGAAAGGGAAAACCGCTAAGCTCTCCTGATTTCCACAACTTACTAAGTCCTTACAAAACTGGTGACACTGTGCTCAATTATGCATAGATTCAGATAAGAAGATACATACTGAGACCTAATAATTGTCGTACCCTGCCACCAGACACAATTGATACTGTGACAATGGGTGTATATCCCACTCATCAGAAGCACAATGTGTTGTGAGAACTAGCTGGCAGATGAGGACATCCTGTGCCGGCTTCACTCTCATTATGGTGAAGGTCTTCTGCAGTATAGAGACTAGTAATAGATTTCGTGTTTGCTATTCAATGCTTTTACAGTCTATAATGGTAGCAAAAAAAATAGAGAAAAACAGTACTTTATCACTCTGTACTTCTGGATGTGAATGAAGACAAGGCAACAATACTTCTTTCTGTGAACTGTTTATTTCCCCTTCCCCTCTTTCAGGAATAAAAAATGTTAATGTCCTTAAACAATCCCCCCCAATGTGGTACATCTTGGTATTACAACTACCCTGGTCTGAGGGACGGAGAAAAGACTGCAGAGCAAAGTTCAGTCACAACCTGATAGTTCTCACTCGGGTCTCTGTTCCTCAAGTATCCGTTTAAGTTTTAGGAAGGTAAACCCTTTCAAAAAGTTACCAGTTATTTTGCTCTGTGTTTCCTCCCCCACAAAAAAAATAGAGAGACAAACAAATTAATATCTTAATTTGGCAGCAGTTTTACAAATACTCCATTTACATCACAATCGGTACAAAGTCTCTGCTGCTTAACCTAAAGCATTCTAAAGATCAGTGCATAAAAGACAGCAGATTTTATTTTTGAAGAGAAGGAGGTTAAAAAAAGCAGTTATGGTATTCAAGGGTCCTCTACGGTACACTTGTCTGGGCCTCTTGGATCTCTACAGCCATAAAGCTTCAGCTCCTCAAGGTAATCACGCAAGCTAGGTTTCTGAACTTTAACTTAATTAGAATTATTTACAGAATTGAGGACTACCTAACATTAGAGCATATATATATATAGTTTAATTTTCTCTATAAGATAAAACAGAAGCTTATGTAACTAGAATCCTATTGTAGACATACATGTTAAAACCAATAAAGAAAACTATCTAAGAAAGAAGTCAAAGATGCTGTTCTCCTCAAATTAAAAAAAAAAATCACCGGAGTCCAGCCATATATCTGATTCAAAACGATGAAAATGCCAACAAGAAAAACAGAAATGAAATCTGTCGAGTAAAACAAAAAGCAGGCAAAAGAAATTTTTGTTTTAAAGAACAACTTTTTTTTTTAAATCTTTCTTCTTATAAAACAGCCGAGCTTTACACTAAATAAAATAATTATATTTTACAACAAACTATAGAAATTCAAACAGTAAAATAGGCTTTCTGAGGTAATTACAGAGTTACTGTACGTGTGAATTAAAAAAAAAAGTACAGAAATCATTTTTCCAAAATAATTGCAGTGATGCTGCCTTCTCCAGTTCAACAGCAGATGCTCGTGTTACAGTCTTCAAATGCTGATGAAGTTCAGTCATTCATATTACCGTAAGCAGTACAAATAACAGGTTACACTTCATTGGGAAATCCTTTCCAGCCAGCAGTGTGTTTTTCTGAAACAGTTCCTCATTGAATTTCTCCATCAGGATAATCTATTTTCAGTGGATCCCCCAAGATAATCAAGGCACAGAATAAATGTAACCCAGATCCTAGACGTCTTTACAATAAAAGCTGATGGCTCTTCGGATTGACTTGATAAATTCCCCAACGAACAGTGAGCTGCCAGACAGGAGTGCCCCATAATCCCGAACAGCTCTTTCCAGGAGCAGTCAGGAAGCGTATGTCAAGTGAAGGAAGCATAGATTCATTTTTCAGGCTTGCTGGTCATCAACAGGTAGGAGAATGGTGAAACAGAGCATTCCCTTCTCCCGGCAAGCAGCGCAAATAACTTTTACTGCGTGGTTTTGACGTTACCGTTAAGCATTCACACTCTTTTTCTTGTTTTTGAAATTCAAGGAGGCATTTTTAAGCGTTCGGTCTCCTCCTCCAACAGCCCTATTTGATCCGTCGTGTTCGAATCCAGAAAAAGACACTTTTGTGCAGCACTGTACTACACATCTGTACACGTGAACATTTAGCAATCTTCCCTCCTCGTTAATTACTTCTATCCCATCCAGCCTTATAGCCTGCGTCTCTGATTACTGGAAGACAAATTTAATATTTCGCTTCAAAGTGTAAATGACTAAATTCAGGATGAGACGAAAAGGTGTGGGAATAGCTTTGAGCCACGTGAAGAGCTATGAGCTTTCACTTCAAGATGCCCCCGAGGAAATGAGTTTAAGGCTTTGAAACAGTCTAGTGACGTGAAGGCTGTATTGTGACTTATTGCATTTTCATCTACACACTCCCTGAGGACGGATGGGGGGCGGGGGTCTCCTCTCAGAACTGAGTCTGTATGTGCTGGACGATCTGGGTGGGAGAGGCGGGAGAGCTGGTGGAATTGTTGGCGATCCTTCCAGAGTCGGACAGCTGCAGCTCCTCCAGCTTCTTGAGGTACTGATCGCGCAGTGCCAGGAGCTCCCTGTAGCGCTGCTCCACTGGGTTCTGCTGCTGCAGGACAGAAAGGCAGGTCAGTCGGAGCTACTGAAGCTCTTTTTCCTCTCGCTAATTGCTACACATGAGTCTTACTTACCCAGAATGCCATGGGCAGGGTTTAACAAAGGTGTACAGATGGTTGATATTATTTCAAACATGATTGATATTAGGTATTTAGCAGATGCCTTTCTACAAGGCAACATGCACTTGACACAATCAACGACCTGCTAAATCCTAATTCAAAAAGCGTAGACCATTCTAACGGGTGCAAAACATTATTAACATCAAGGCTGCTCACAAGAATCTAAACAGTTTCTTTTCTCTGCCTTGACTCAGGTGGCACAGAATTTGTTAGCAGATTTACAACAGTTCTGCGGCTCGCTCTCTTCTGAAGCAGGTACATCTGAACCTCTCATTAGAGCACAAAGTTAATCAACTCAATACAGGGAGCCCAAACAGCTGAGACACGTTGAGATAGTTTTTTATTTTGCAAAACAAAAACACAGACAAAAAAAAAGTTGGCATGAAGACAACTAATGAAAGTGACTGCACACAACTGGAAATTAGGGAGTGAAAACAGGGAGCCTCTTTACGCAAAGAGTGGTGGGTGTCTGTTACAGGCTGTCAAGTTGTTGAAGAAAATCCCCTGGGGATCTTTAGGTGAAGGGTGGATGTGATCTTTGAAGGAAAGTCAGGTTGCTTGTTGTAAGTGTTGCTGCTGGACCAGTAGGTAGTGCTCCTTCAGGTCAATCAGTGTTTCCTTGCCAATTCCCCAGTACTGTATGTGGGGACACTTTGCTGCAGGAAGTGCTGTCCTTTAGATGAGACCTTAAATGGAGGTTCTAACTACTTAATCAATAAAGATTACTGCACTCTTTATAAGAACAGAAGTGTTAGCCCTAGAAAAAATACTCTTTAGCCTTGTATAATCTGGCTTTGCTAAAATTCCCCCTTAATTCATTCCTTCTCTGATCTGCTGTGCATTGGTACAGAAATCCTGCTGCACATTCCCAGATGCGGCTGCGCTGCAGTGGTGTGTGAACTGAGTCCCCTCCTATACATAATCGTTTGGGATGAAATGCACTGTATAAATCCAAGGACGTATCTGTATTGTTCATCTTCAATAAAGCCAAAAGGCCAACTATTACCTTAGTCCTTTAATGACAAACTGGATGAATGCCCCCCAATTACTAATGAATACAGACTAATTTAGTAATTAGTAAAAATGACTAATTTTCATTTTTTGTTAATGCACTGTGTATGCATTAACAGGCATTATATGCCTTTTAAACTCATGTTTAAAATAATTTAAAAATAATTATTTGCAATACTGTATACAGTATATAAAATGTCAACTAACTGACAAATAATAATTGGAACACTAATTTCTGATATGCTAAGTAGAAAACAATTTTTCTGAATCATTTTTAAGGCTAATGATTTACTCAGTTATTATGGGATTTTTCACAAACCTCTTAAGAATGGTCTTTGAATCTGCAACAACTTGTCAAACAATAAAATATTTAATGACTTCAATGAAGCACTTTTGTATGAAACATTCTTCGATACAAAAGTGTTAATACTTTAACAGGAATACACAGACTTTCAGTGTCCTGTTCATGGGTAAGAACACATGAGGTTTTCGTTATTATTATTGAAGTGAAGAAAAGAGGATTGTCCTGTTCACTAAGTCACATTCTGTCTAGCAGCACAGCAGATATAAGAAGTTTAGATTAAATCCTTCCTCATTAAATTAGGAACATCCCGCCTTTGGCAAGAGAGGAATTGAAAAAAAATAGACAAAGCCGAAAACCACAAGCCAGATTAATTAGATTTTGAATACAACCACTGAGAAATGGTTGGAAAATTGGCAGTGGGTTGCTTAATTACTTGAAAGATTATAGGCTAGTGGCGTTTGTTTTGAATTCATTGCCTGTCTTATCTGTCCTGCAGTATTTAATGAATAACTATTTTCTATGCTGAACTCACTCCTGTGCCTTTTTTTTTCTACGGGCTTCAACAACATGGCTGGGTAGCTTGTTTCAGACCCCCACAGTCCTGTGTGGAAGATAGTGCTTCCTGCTTTCAAATTTTAATGCCCTCCACATAGACAGTTTCCTCTTATGTTTTCTGTGTATCCCTGTTGATACTGCAGTAGCCCACTAGTGTTATTCTGTCAAAAGTCTTGGAAGATTTTTAAGATTTCAATCTGAATATTACTAGATGGTCATGAGTTCCTCAGGACTTTGAAACATACTTGTCTTAATGAATACGTATGAACAAAAATCTTGAAAACTATTCACTGATTCATCAGAGTTGTAGTTAGTGACAGAGGATGTAGATAAGGGTGAAGAAGCAAAAAGAAGAACAAATGACAGTATTCTGTTATACTAGAATGTCTCTGAAACCACGCTGTGTAGCCCAATTTTCCAGGTCAGTTTTAAGAAAAGGGTAAGACTCCAGAGATGGCTCAGGTAAAAATGCTGTAAGCTAACTTGTAGAACGATTTTCCAAAAAGACAGAGGCACTGACACATTTGGCACTTTCATCAAAAAACTGAAAATGGACTTTTCTGTTCCAGGTTTCATTGTTTTCTATGCTTTTATGATTTGTAGAGATTTTTTTAAATACTGTTTTTACATGTGTCAAGTCCTTTAAGTCAAAGGAGCTATATAAAACAAAAGTCGATGATTATGATTACTGCGTGCACCTTGCTCTCACACCTGTGCTGCTGTGAGGATTGTAAAGGTGACTGAAAATAAATAACACCCGGCTGGTTCATAATTGGAGGCTGTTAAAATAAATGCCAACCAAGTCCAAAGCTGAAAGAACAACCCAATGTCTATTGCTACGGTTATCCTACCTGCTGTCTTATTCGTGGATTCCACCGGATGTAGTAAGACACCCACAACTCTAGATGGCGCATACTGGCTACAGGATATAGAACCCGGTTGCACTCCATTGTGTAGAAGGGATTCAAGTACTTCGACTTGTCACTATTGATCATAGACCACAGAGAGACCGTCTTCGTTTTCACTTCCTGCAAAAGAAGCACATCAGCTGCTTAAATTGGAGAACAGTAGGAGAACCTACTGACATTTCAAACAAGACAGGAAACAAGAGCTGTTTGTACTTATAAGTGCTTTGCTCTGATACAAAATTATTGACAAGTCAATGTCTTTACCATGGTATATTGCTTAGATGATCATATCACCCTTTGCATGAAAAAGAAACCAGCAAAAATCTTATTACCAGGAGGTTCCTGGTTCACGTCCTGGCTGTGCCACTAACACACTGGCCCCCTGAGTAAACCATTGAATGTTCTTGTGCTCCATCCATCAGTAGACTCACCTACTGTACTGTACCTCACCTATTCTATAGGAAACGTACCAATTACTACTTGAACATTCTGACCCACACCCAGTCCCGTATGACTTGTTCTTACATTGGCATCTCTTGCACTTTCACAGTTGTACAAGAACGTTCCAAATCGACAGCTGTAAAGGTGGTCTAGAATGGTGATCAGGAACTGCTCGTTGAACTCGAAAGCTGTGGGAAACTGACACAAACGAGAAAATGGCATGGTTTTCAAAAGTCCAGCCCTGCCAAGAACAATAGTATTTAGCTTTATGGAACAGGTCCAAAGCAGCTATACGCAGTTTATATTTAACAATAGCAAAAGCAAGCCAGTTTTTCTAATGCTTTAAAAAAGCTTTAGTAATGACAATGTTCAGTCGTTGTTTTTTTCAGCTACTGCTTCTAATGTGCCAAAACAACAATGCAGCCCTGCCTAGCAACAACCAATAAGGGCCGTCCCCTCAGGGACAGGTGTCCTCAGCACTGTATTCCACTTGCTCACAGTGGTGACTGCAATAACACTAACCAGCTGTGTTTATAGGGCTGGCTAATCACGGTTACAGGCTTAAATGGAAAATAAAGTTCAACTGGACTTTTTTGGGGTAGGTGCCTTGAGAGTTAAGAAAACTTCTTACGTACAGTATAGTGTGTGGTAGTAGCAACTTTGAAGTTTCCAGCTCCATAAACTATGAGGAGCAATACAAAAGACAACAGCCCTCCTAGTTCTTGTACATTACCTTGTAAGATAATGTAACCATGCAGATATTCACTGATCATCTTTATATCTGATCTCGAATCACTCTTTAACTAGATACATCAAATGAGACCAAATTCTCATCTACAGTGACACCTGCTGCACAGAAGATACATTAGTGAAAAGAATAAAAAGTAAATAACCAAAGAGAATATAATATCACTGGATTTGATTGTGATGTTAAGTTTGATAGAAGTATTAAAGTACATCTTAAATGGTTTCTTGGCAGAATATTATCAACCACATAATCTCATCTCTTTGTTTCTTGAAAGATCTCAGGGAATCTGAGAAAAGGATTTGGCAAGCTTGTTCCAGACACCCACCGCCTTTTGAGTAAAGCAGTGCCTTCTGGTTTAAATGGTTTACCTGCTTGGTCATCTGCCATACACAGTCGATAAACTGGAGCAGAATCGGAGACCTGTCTGCATCTGCGTGGTTCTTGTCACCATGACCGATTCTCTAGAAAGAAAACAAACAGCGGCCTCAGCACATTTCAGATAAATCAGCTTACAAACGGGCAGATTTTCATCAATGAAACAGAGACCAAGTCCTAATAAACCTCCGAAATGTTTTCTGAAAAAAAGTATTTGTTTAAGGTGGTTCAGGGATTTTGCTCAAACTTTATCGAATCGTTACAAAACAAGAACAATTAAGGCAGTTGGTTTATTTTTGTACATAGAACTAAGGTCTGAAATGTTACACACTAAATGAACAATGCGTACTGTAATAGCAGAAGTAAGACTTAATAAGACTATCCTCTTTCTCGATAATTATGCTGCTCCAAATGTGATTCTCCAGACCAGCACCTACCCATTAGAGCAATAAAGGTGAAATTTATAACTGGGTTCATGCTGAGAATTCCAGACATGACGGTTTTTAATCTTTTAGATGGGTATAAAAGTCAATTCCAAATTCTTGTCTCAAGATTTCAGCCCATAAAACACTGTTGGAGGCTGGCACACAGTGGACCTGACCTGCAACTTAATAATCTTAATAGCTCATTCTCTCTTAGATGTGTGGTTTCGTACGTGGAATATTTTAATATTTCTTATATGTGCAGTTCCCTAAGAAGTGTGACAGTAAATTTTCTCTTAGATGTGCAGGTCATTGCCAATTGATACAAGGAGGGGAGCACTGCTTTAAGCTTTGTATGTGGTTAAAGAGGGACCCGAAAACGAAAAAATAAAGCTGCTCTGGGGAATTCCTTACAGAACTGAACTTGTGACCGAAGCTGATCCACTCCTTCTGGACCAGCACTTGAAAGCCGGTCAGAGTCCTGTAGAAGCTGTCCAGCATCAGCATGGCCAGGGAGGTGAGCTGGGCTGTGCGGTCCCACCCATCGCTGCAGTGCACCACCACGGAGTTCCCAGACGAAATCTTATCTGCCACCTGGATAGCACCAGCCAGGACTAACTGTGGAGACAAGAGATCCACCATATTTAAAACAAGCATCCCCACACCGGGCACCGCAGTCCCCATTTCCCCCCCACTAATACAACTACAGTTCTCTCTTGAGTCTCAGCACAAGATCTTGCATGCCACAGGAGGCTAAACTACCAGACGCCACTAGCTGGGACAGCGTCTGCTCCACTTTGTGCATAGTGTTGTGTTATACATATTATCCCTGTCACAGCTGCTCGTCTAAATATGGCAGGGTCTGACAGAAACAGAAGCGACATTCATTTTGAAACCGTTTGATTTTAATAACTGTGGGGGGAGGGGGGGAAGGAGAACAAAATATCACATAGTTGTAAAACCAAAACATCTGAAGCAACACGTACGGAAAAAAGATCAGGATGGGGCTTTTTACTGGGACTGGCAGCAGTGGGGGAAGTCCCTAACTTCAGTTGGGGAAGCTTACAAATGGCTGAGCCCTGCTGATAATTCCTGGATTGGCTGTTGCGATTTCTCAGCAAAGGCTGTGTCAGCTTCTGCCTGAAGAGGAGCAGTACTGGTGTCGGCACACAGATAAGTAGTATGTGGCTTGATGATGATAATGACGACGATGACGACAATGTGATGGTCAAGGCTCTGGACTCGGTTAAATGCTGGTGTTTATGGGTTCACATCCCAGGTGGGACACTGCTTAAAGTCCTTCACTCAGATTGCTCTAGTTAGTATGCTGCTGTGTAATGGTTCTCCAGGTTGTCCTTGTAATTGTCTTCTCAAATTACTTACCTGGTGAAATAAAGCAATAAATATGGTGCTTTGTGTCACAAAGGATCTCAAAGCACTTCACATACAGAAATATGGAATATAATAGAAAGTGCATCCTCAACTGATGTGCTGCCCCACCTGGGTGACAGGCAGCAGTTCTGCTGCACAGCAGATCAGGTGCAGATGTAAGGAACTACTTCAGCAATAATAATAATAATAATAATTGCTTACACTTATATAGCACTTTTCTGGACACTCCACTCAAAGCACTTTACAGGTAATGGGGACTCCCCTCCACCACCACCAATGTGCAGCCCCACCTGGATGATGCAACAGCAGCCATAGTGCACCAGAACACTCACCACACAGCAGCTATCAGTGGGGGTGAGAGCAGAGTAATGAAGCCAATTCATAGAGGGGGATTATTAGGAGGCATGATTGGTAAGGGCCAATGGGAAATTTGGCCAAGACGCCGGGGTTACAACCCTACTCTTTTGAGAAACGCCCTGGGATTTTTAATGACCACAGAGATTCAGGACCTCGGTGCAATATGCACCAGTACTCAGAGTGGGTACATGCAGTCTTTCCACTGAGGAGGCTGTGGTGTTCTGGGCTGAAAAGTAACTGGCTTTTCCAAAAAATAGGAATAATAAAAATGGAGTTTTCATTCAAGCAGTTTATTCCTCCAGGCCTGCTTATGTTATGCCTCGACAACCAACTGTGATTCTGTAACAATGTGACTGTCAAACCTAGGCATTCCCCTTTCTGAAATTTGTATTGCAGACAAAACACCTTAAAGAAATACTTGTTTTTTTAATCTTGAGGGCTTCTGTTAAATTGTCCTTCTAATCTCTGTTTACTCTCCAACACATCTGGGCTCTTAATTCACAATCCATTTGCCACCTGTTAAAGAGTGACAGCATGATGTATTATCACTCCAGTTGAATCCACATACTGAAAAAATGTGATTTAATAATCATCACCTTTTCTTACCAAGGTTACAGAGTTGGCAACGCTGGCAAAGTCTTCTCTCCTGTTTTCATTAAAGCAATTTGAGGTCACGTTTGTTTCAAGAGTAAAATAATTTAATATGGAAAAACATACACTCAGGTAATTAACTTAGAGTAACTGTGTTAAACAAAAAGTCTCCCCATCCCCCAGAGGCACAAAAGCATGAGCAATGACAAATTCTGCATAAACAACACAATGACCTTTTATGTTTTGTCGTGTTAACTTAAGTGCCTGAATACAAGAAAACAGCAGTTTTAACACGTTAGTTACAGTTCAAGGGCTTACATCATTCAATTTACAAATGATACAGCGATAACACCCCCAGGAACACCTCTTGTGTTGGACAGTTAGAGAGGATGGTACTGTATCTTAATAGTTATTGCTGTTTAACTGAAATCACAGGCCCTGAAGCCGTTTTACAGACTTGACAACATAACATAACATGATGATGATGAATCCGGTCCATACACTTACACATACTCACCAGTCACAGCACTTTTTAATATTATAAAAAATGTTTGGCACAGAATTTGTACAAATCTCTAAAAAGTAGAAGTTGCTTTCTGAGCAGTTCACAAAACATCTCTGATGAAACTAAATGCATACTGGTGAAGCAACAGCTGCAAAACAACTGTCCAGCATGTTCCACTGTGCTTGTCCTTTATCTACTACTGCTCTTCAGACATTTATGTCTCAAGATGGTGTTTTCAGGTGATTATGTTCTGTCGAATCTGTTGAACACTGCTTTTACCATTTAACACTGTTTAAAAGTACTACCTAACCCTCTCTCTTTTTTTTGTAATTGTATCCTGTCCTCTCCCTTTAAGGTACAGTATAAGCAGACACACTGCACTTGATTTAACTGGAGGCGGGAAACGTCTGCGACAGAAATACTTTCTGCCAAGTCGGCAGAATCCAGTGTTGTTACTGTGAAGAGCATTAGTATTAGTGTTGCGGCCAATAACTGATAGCTACCTGTATTCCATGAAGAAGAACTATCACAACGGTTTATCAATGGAGTTCCACTGCAATACTCAATAGGCAACAGTCTTATTTTTAAATTATAATCATCAAAATACCCTTTTTTTAATATCGATTTTTGAATAGCCAATCGTGTGTTTTTCAAGTCTGTCCTGAAAGCTACGAACCCTGTAATCGCACACAGGGATGTGCAGGCTGACTCCTCTGACCAGTCCACCCTCAAGCCACTCTACCTTTAACATGGGACAGACAGCATAGTCACGTAAAAAAGATTCAGCTAACTTATCCCTCACCAGGATGCCCGTAAGGCCTGGGAGGGTGCAGGGGGGCGCTGTGCTTGCTGAGAGATGAGAGAGCCCTGGCCAACTAATACCAACCTCCCCACAGAGGTACTTGGCCAATTGTGCACCATCACCTGGGGAAACCCAGACACATGACCCACACAGGCGTCCCAACACTCTCTCACTGTAACCGGGGACGTACCTTGATGTGCTCCAGCCAGTGCGTGGACTCTAGGCTGGAGAGCCAGTGGGACTCCTCCACGTTGGGATAGACAATGTCCTTCAGCTTCTTCAAGGACTCCCTCATGACATGGATGTTGTGGATGTCCAGGAAGACCAGCTCGGCATTCTGATAGGCGTCGTCTCCTTCGTACCCTCCTCCGGTGGCCTGTCACACACAAGACAGCCAGCCTCAATCCCAGAGTCTTGACAACGCCCCTAAGAGCAGAGCCCAATGACTGCTCTCCCAGGCAGGGCTTAACCCCAGACAAGGGATGACCACTGCTTGAATACGGCCGATGATCAGTGACGAGTACAAACGTTTTCAGATATAGAGCTTACCTATAACTCTAGAAACAAAGTTTCACTGAAGTGCACCACTAACCCAACTTGACAGATGTGCCTGAAGCAGAACATGGATCAGTCATGTCTTAAAAATGGAAAACTGGTAGAAAATATCCACAGTAACAGAGGAAACAAAAAAACGTCCCTAGGGATTATTTAGTCTGCGTAATACTTTCTTAGAAGCTACATGTTAAAACATCATCCATAATACTTAATGACTATATCAGTCGATTTCCATTAATCCAGAAATTTCTATTAATATAGCTCCAAGGGTGTGAGAAAAGACAAAGAGACCAGTGCTACTAAGCGATCTAGATCCACGATGAGCTTAGAAGAAAAATTTGAAGTGAAGGACTAATAGGACTAAGTAATAGTGCTGTCTGCCTGTTGTTTGGCAAAAATAAATCTACAGTACAATTCTAACAATAAAGAAAAGTGAGGAAACTGTCAGACTCAGTGTATGTGGAATGGCGACATTGCTTTAGGGTCTTGTACCTGGTCTACATGGGCAAAATCAGAAATCAGAGATTCTGTCAGCAATTTTAAATTATTTAAAAAAAAAATATTGTTTTTCTTTACTCCATTGTTATTTTTTACAGGTGAAAAAATGTGATTCCAGGGATTTTAATAGGTTGAAACACGACCTCAGCTTATCTAACTCTATTGCTATACAAGACATAAAAAGTATTTGTCACAGAAAAGGAGCTAATTATTAAAGTTTGACAAGCTGCCCGCTCTGCATGTCAGGCAGAGATCACAATTGAGAGGTGTCAACATAAGCTCACACAAATTGAGCTTTTTAAATGGTGAGCGTTTCATAACAGCAACAAAGCCTGTGTTGGGAAGGAGCCTATTGTAGTTAAAGCCATGTATGACCTTATGCCATACACAGCACATGATGCTACTGTATACACAGCACAGAAGTCAAGTTATCTCAATCGCTCAATTTTATTCTTCTATGTTTATGACTAAACCCGAGGTTTATGCCTGGAGGAATACCAAGAATATAAAACCTCTGGGTACTCTTCCCCCCCACCCCCCGAGGCTGGGGTCCAGCCTTCACCTTGTTGGCCACGGCGTTGACGTTGGGCCTGGCGTCGAAGATGGTCAGCTTGCTGGTCTGCCCGTTGGCCTCTCGGATGGTGTCCAGGTAGCGCTCGTCGTCCTTGTTGCGCTTGCCGCTCATGCCCACTAGGGGCTGGCTGCAGCGCATGATCACCGCCTGGTTCTCCGGGTGAATCCAGGACAGGACCTGCAGGGCACAGCAGCACGGGGCTTGACGGCACTCACAAAGGGAGGAGGCATCCTGTACCGCACACGTCGGCGAAAGGGATACAGTAAAACCTCGCTCTCTGCAGGTTCTACATTTGATTTGATTTTTCCATGCCAAATTGTGGACCGACATTGCCTATTCGCAAGCTGCGCAATAAGAGAGTAAACGTGGGCACAGTTGCGCATCTTCAACTCACAGATCCACGTCTACTGACCTGCATTGGCCTCTGTAGTCAAGCCAAAGCTTGGTTAACAAAGAGTTAATGTTTATTTAGAAGAGCATCATGGGTTATGCTTAAGTTATTCACTTCCTGTCAGGAAAGCATTGTGCACTTACCTGTATGTGAGTGTAATGCTGCTTAAGGAATATTAAATAAAAAACCCCTCTGTGGTCCCCTTAGTTATCACAGCAAAGTTTGCAGCAAAGTAATAACAAGCAAGTAGTAAATTATTACAGTAATGCTACTTTTGAATAGTAATGAAAACTTAAAAATTAAAGAGAATGCACCCTACTAAGAATGATAAAAATATCAAATACAAGAATTGAATTACTGGGTGAAAACTGTTTTAGATTTACTGCATTCATTTTCATTAAAGGTATGTACTACCAATAAATACTGCCACTTTTTCTGAAAAAGATAAGTTACAATAAAATGTTACTACCGAAATGCTGGTTTTAAGTCCTGCGGTCACAAATTCACCATTCACTGAGGCATCAAGATACCTATAACCCCGATGAACACCGAGGTTGTACTGTATCTGTAACCTACTGGACACAAAGGGAAGTGTATATCTAAGTGCTCAGGCAGCAGTGTGAAGTTGCTATAACAGATAAACAATAAGCATAACGCCCATTTGTAACATTAGTCAATCTGTGATGATATGTTGCTTATACCTGTATGTACCCAACAACATGAAGAGAGGACAATCTTGGGAAATTTAAGCCTGAGGCCAAAAGCAGAATGAAGATATCCTGCAATCACCAAGAGAGGAAGGAAGGAAATCCCAGTAGGGGTGAAACACTTACCGGTATCCGATTCCTGGATCGAAACACAGCCACTTTTCGTAGGTCCTCGTCTGAGGCGGTGTAAGGCACAACAAGGATCGTGGGGTATGTGTCACACAGCTCATAATTATTGTTCAGAAAGGTTATCCTCCATGTTTTGTTGGGTAATCCCTATTATATTACAGAAACAAAAAGAAAATTGCTTTTAACCCTTTAAAGAATTTTGACTGAAAGGCCTCTCTGATTCCTAAGATGGACCTGTTTTCATCTAAGGGTGTAATCCTGCCTTGTGCTCTGTCCCTCTGGGATGGGCTCTGGGCTTCTGTGACCTTCAACAGGAACAAGCGCCTTTCTGACAGAAGGCGATGCTTTCTAGATTCACTATAAAGCACTCAAGAATGACATGAAGCCTCCACCATGAGGGTTAAATGTGACTTGGATTTCTTCTCAGCCACAAGACAGGAATCTCCAACAGAATCTTCCTGTGGGAGTCTAGTACAGTGTGAAAGATCTCAGGCTGTTGCTCTCCACAGACAGCAGAACCCAAGGACAGAATATCATGTGTAGCACAATTCAGAATAAAAATCTTTTAAAGAGAACGGTACATGCTCACCTGCCGGCGATACTCCTGCATAGGATTGTAAACATTCCAGCCATTTTCCGGAAACTTCTCCTGGCTTAGAAACGCAAATAATATCTGTAAAACAAAAGGGCAAATGGCAGAGATAGGTTAAGCAGCTTTTCTCAAGTAAGTCACCATCAAGTCTTCTCTAACCAATTCTGCAAGTCAAACAGTGTAGTGTAGTGTCTCATTCAAGATGTCCCCTATAAAGAAATCTCACTGGGGCAGGAACACCACTCTCAAAATAAGACTGTGATGCTCCACATCGTGGGAGCTTCCTACAATCAGAACTCTGATTTTTGGAAGTTGGTGCTCTCTGCCAATATCTTGTGTGGAAAAACTCACCAGACCATGAGAGAGGGGGAAGGCGTATCGGAAAAGGATTTCAAATATGTCTCTTCTGCTGTGTCCTTCTTGTTTCAGGGCAAATCTCAGGTTCCTCATGTCCTTAAATACATACACACACAGAACAGACACTAAAAGTTCCACACAGGCTTGAAAGAGTAACATCACTCAGATTCTATTTTAGACAAGCTGTAAGAACCACTGCAATATAGTACTGGCATGTAACATTCGCAAAGTGTATAATTAGGTTCTGTGAATGGCAGCTTCTAGCTTCTCGGAAGCACACTGTGCACTGCAGGATGTCTTCATTATTAACCCTCACCATCAAGCAAAGGAACTTAAACCAGTATATTTTAAAGAGCCTTTAAAATAAGAGGATGTTTAGAGCCCTGCATTTCAACATACAGTTGTGAGAAAATGTTTGTGAACCCTCTGGAATTATCTGGATTTCTGCATGAATGGCTCCTGAAATGTGATCTGATCTTCATCCCAGTCATAATAATAAAAAGGACAGTCTTATTTAACAAACAACACACACAACATTTTACATTGCCATATCTTTACTGAACAAATGGTTTAAACAATCAAGGTCATTGATGGAAAAAGTATGTGAACCCTTATGTTTAGTAACTATGGGAACCTCCTTTATTGGCAGTAACCTCAACTGATCGCTTTCTGTAACTGCTGATCAGACCTGTGCAGCAGTTAGGAGCTATTTTGGCCCATTTGGGCCTGCTTCAGATCACGCCACAGTATGATCTGAAGCAGGCCCAGGTCAAGACTCTTACTTGGCCATTCCAAAATATGGAATTTCTTCTGTTTGAGCCACTCTGTTGTCGATTTACTCCTGTGTTTTGGATCATTGTCATGTTGCATGACCTAACTTTTTTTGAGTATTAGATCACAGACAGACACCTTGACATTCTGCTGTAGAATTTCCTGACACAACTTGGAATTCATTGATCCCTCAATGATTGCAAGCCGTCCAGGCCCTGAGGAAACAAAGCAGCCCCACACCATTATACTCCCTCCACCATGTTTCACAGTTGGGATGAGGTTTTGGTGTTGCTATGCAGTGTTTTGTTTTATCCAAACATAACACTGTTTACATTTACCAAAAAGTTCAACTTCTGTCTCATCTGTCCACAGAACACTGTTCCATTCAGGTGGTCTTTAGCAAACTTGAAATGGGCAGCAATGTTTTTTTTTTTTTGAAGAGTAGTGGTTTCCTCTGTGGTAACCTCCCATGAACACCACTCTTGTTCAGTGTTTTTCTTATGGTAGACCCATGAACACAGATGTTATCAAGTGAAAGAGATCCTGCAAGACCCTTAGCTGTCACCCTAGGGTTCTTTGTCACCTGTTTGAGGATTGTACGGCATGACCTTGCATTGATCTTTGTAGGATGTCCACTCCTAGGGAGAGTAGCAAGGGTGCTGAATTTCTTCCATTTGTAAACTACCTGCCTGACTGCAGACTGATGGCCCAAGTCTTTAGAAATCCTTTGATGAGCTTCAACAACTCTTCTTCTGAGGTCCTCTGAAATCTCTTTTGATCGTGTCATATTGCACTTTAACAGAATTCTGTTGTGAAGAGCAGATAACCAAAATTGTGTGATTTTTTTTATACGGCAGGGCAGGTCAAATCCACACCTGAATTGATTGGAACTTCTGACTCATTGATGCAAATACCTGACTCCAATTACCTTGTTTTCCAGATGTCATTATCCTAGAGGTTCACATACGTTTTCCATCAAAGACCTCGATCGTTTAAACTAGTTGTTCAATAAAGATAAGGCAATGTAAAATGTTGTGTGTGTTGTTTGTTAAAAAAAGACTGTCTTTATTTATTATTGTGATCTGATCTCTGTCTAAGTCCTATTTTAGGAGCTATTCATGCAAAAATCCAGAGAATTCCGATGGTTCACAAACCTTTTCACAACTGTATCACCCTACAAGTACTTGATCACAGCCCGTTTCAGGCCTACCACTGACTAAACTCAACTCATTCTGTATCTCTGAACTCAAAGGCTGGAAAGAAGACCTGGTGGAAACCTTATTCATTTACAATTCAGTGTTAGACACCAAGTATTCAGCAATGACTTGGATATCCTACATCCAGGGAGAGCGGCAAAAAATAAATTGGGTCTGCACCTTGCAGGTGATGTCCAGGCCATAGGAGTTTTCACCTCTGCTGGATGCGCCTCCCATCTTCTCCACGCGGCTGATGGCTCCGAGAGGCACGTCAAGAGTCACCGGGGGGTCCTGATGTCACAGTCAACAAAAGAAGTGTGGAATTAAGGACACAGTGCAGTATGGCACTACTCTCTCTGCACTACTGCCAGAACAAGAGGGCAATGGCTTGAGCCAACACTCTCAGCCTGTGCACACGTTGCTGGACTTCAGAGACGTCAGGGAGCCAGGGCTGAAGTAAATACCCAAGCAACTTCAGAAAGTAGACTGATTCTAAGCCTCAGAACGCCTAAAATAGAACTATTTAATTGAGCCTGCGCCTGGTCAGCCTCTCATGGGTCAAGCGGGCAACTGTTCGATGTTAAATGACTCCTAACAACCACTAACTCAGTTATAAACTGGGTAAAATGCAATATTTTGGCCAATAGCTTTTTTCAAGGGATTGCTGAAATGCTGATTTGGGCCCTATGATTAACATATCTAAGCCTTTTCCATGTCTTAAAGGATGTTAAATTCCAAGCATTTTGAGTGAAATCTTATTTAAAGTCTAGGTCTTTACCAGCAATGTTCAATGGATATGTTTTAATGGAGGAAGACAAGGTCCTCACTTCTGAAAACAAACACACCTGAGGCTCTTTGCTTTTGGTTATTTATTCAGTAACCCGCCCCCCAGGAAGAAAAAGTACTGGGCTTAGTAATCCTGCAAATTCCTTCATCTGACTAAAAAAGAAACACATATCAATAAATTCCTACTGAAAATCCCATGATGTTTAAATCCAAAAATTCCTAAAATCCTAATTTTAGGTTTCTTCTTTCCTCTTTTGTTTCAATGACGTCTTTGGAAAATATCAGAAGACAGGTGGTGGCATCTCCTTAGAAAAACACTAGCAAGACCCCATGCTGAATACTGCTTACAGTTTTCCCTATGTTACAATAAAGATATTGCTGCTTTGGAATCAGTCCAGAAGAGATCAACCAGATACATTTTCAGGTACAACAGAATGACCTGCTCTGACAGGATAAAAGAATTGAACCTTTTTAGTCCTGAACAGCAAAGAACATGAGGGTACCTGCTACAAGTATTCAAAATCCTCAGACCCATTGACTTGCCAACCTTGTCAATTTCAGCATCAAATGTGAAAACACAAAACAGAAGGGGAAACTACAGAATTCCAATCAATCCAACTCCACAACTACATTATTAGCAATGTGGTGCAGCACTACTGTGACAGCTTATTTTGATAACTAGAGAATGAACAGATTTGGCAATTATACTGAAAGCACTACTGAAGGCAGACTCATACAGTAGATTTTTCCTGCTTAATGCCCAGTAATTTTGAAATGGGTTTCATAACTGCCAGGTTATTAATCTTCAGGCTATCAGGTCCACTCTGAGCAAAAGCTTTATCCTGCAGACACCAAACTGAATGTCTCCATTAGTGGTAAAACTGATGAAGCTACAATAACACTGTAGATTACACAACGACCACCAAAGAAAAAATTATGCCTGAAGCACAGTCTATTTTGACATAATACAGGAGCTTCACATATCCTTTATTAGAGAGCTCAGATATCCTTCCAGAGCATTTACAGTCAAGGTAAAGGATTCAGAAACTCCCATAAGCTACTACCAAACCAAATGTTGTCACACTGTTAAGAAGAAAGGGCTTCTGATGTGGGATTTGCCATTTACTGCCATTTTAAAAATTATTTTCTGGTGAGAACAATGCCTTTGTTATTGGTACAGATAAGAAAGGCAGTATCAAATGAAACATAAGTGCCCTAAGGTGTCAATTTTCTCAAAGGACCAAGGAATATGGAATTAATAAAACAAGGGAAAAAAGCTTTATGCCAGAGGGTATTACAATTGTTTTTACACTTTGTACTAGGAAAGAGACCTGAAGACACTGTCCCAGCAGCTGGTATTCTGTAAACAGCAGGAAAGCAAAGTGAAGAGGCTCTGACCAGAATGGTGGTCAGTAGTTTCTCCTCTACAACAGAGCATGTCCCCAAGCTACACAGTCCCCACTTTCCTCTTTGGGGTGCTGCTTCAAGTCCTGTGGGAAGCTGAAATAAGGGTCCAGATGGTGCAACCAAGAGATTTCCACACAACACTGAAAATCATCTTCTCAGGATCTTTTTTTACTACCCTTGACTGCATCCGAGTCAATTTTGAATTTTACAACTATATACCACATTTCGTTTGGTTCGGAGATAGTATGTGTTTCTGTATAGCACATAATCTGTAACTTTAACCAATCAAGTGCAAATTAATCCCATCCCTTCCATAACCGCTTATTCAATTCAGGGTCACGTTGTCCCAGAGCATATCCCAGAAAGCACCGGGTGCTCGACAGGATACATTCTGGATGAGATATTATTCCATGGCGGAGCACACACAGATATAAACATACACATGCCTGCAGCAGGGCCAGTTTTCCCAGAGACCAATTAACCTACTAGTATGTCTTTGGACAGTGGGAGTAAACTAGAGCACATGGAGGAGACCCAGGCAAACAGAGGGAGAACATACAAACCCCACCCCAGCAACGAAACCCCAGGATTCCTGCACCACAAGGCAGCCATGCTAATCACTGCACCACCATGCAACCCAGTGCAAATCATTATTTTAACTCTACTTAACTAAAGTCATATTACTTTAACTATTTATAACCTTAAATACCCAAACACAACATTAACAGGGTGTCAGCAGTAAGAAATGATCGCTATGATTAGAGGTCTCCTTACCCACAACAGCAAATAATCCTGCAGTGTGCACACGGCACAGAAGTGGAAAGAGTCTCCAAAATCACACCCTCAGCAATCACGCTAGGTCAGCAGAACACAGTTCAAAATACTAACAATTTTGTTGTAAAAGAGGACTTACCACTTCAATACTCCTGAAGAAAAGTCTGTAATTTGTAATGAACACTTTCCCTTTTACTGCTCCATTGAAAGGACAAATATAGATGATGTCTTTGTCTGTGGAAAGAAATCAGCTGTAAGTATGATTCCCGACACCTCCCGAGCAACACTCTCACAATTCAACGGAAATTGTGATTACTAAAAAAGTTTCAGTGGATACTTCCTTTCATAACACATTTTGTGCATACCAGCTAAATGTCCCCTCCCCCCCACATTTCGTTTGTGACCTGCGCCTAACAATAAACACTGGAGACTACACTAATAGTGTTTTGTTTACTGAGGCCGGCAGCAGTACACTGAGTCTTGTGGATGTGCTCTGTCCCCCTTAGTCTCAGGAGCAGCCTTTTCAGATGTGCAGCTCTGAACACACATCGGAGGTGCTAATTATGAGACGTATACACATTGGGCATAACTCCCACACCTAAACCTAAACCACAGCCAGAACGTTCATGAGAGTAACATGACCGGGGACACTTGTAGCACCTCTAGACTCAAGAGCTGCCACCACACCACTTCAGAGTCATTTCCGCTTCTATGCCTCTATGCCTACCTACAGTACCTGTGAAGGAACTGAAGACTGCTGAAGCAAGCCTTTTGTTTCTACAGTGAATTCAGAAAAGCACTTTGGAGTGTGCGGCCTTACTGCCGCTGTCTCTCTAAAGAACAGACTGGGTGCAACTTAGAATAGTTCAGGCGTACTGTACCGAATCGTCTTCTCTATTTGGTGTTTTGAACACACAGAGTCACAGCTGCTTGCTCTAAAAATTGCTTTATTTATATTTTTATGCAAGGTAGAACGCTATCAAATAAAAATAAAGGAAAGACCTTTCCTTCTCCTTCTAGGCAGTTCAAGAACTTGCATAGGCAGGGGAGGGCACTGCCAGTATTAGTTTCCATTCCATCTCTGATCACAGTGAAATTATTTGAACAAGTTCAGTTCAGTGTACTGTCATCTGCACAAGGGCAATGAAATGCTTGTTTGCATGTAGGCTCCAATACAAAGACATGAAGGAAAAAAAAAAAAAGAGAACAGAACAGCATCAGCAACAACAAGAAAAATAACAAAGCCCATTACACGAAACAGACAAAGACCTACAGACGAGGAGCAACATGCAACAAGTCGCCACTCTCCAGCACCATGCTGAATAAGAACATAAGAAAGAGGCCACTTGGCCTCTCTAACCCATTTGGAAGTCAGTAGTGAATTTAGCAAAGATCTCATCCGGCTGTTTCTTGGGTATCAGGTATCAGGGTATCGGCTTCAACAATATGGGAGTGTAGCTTGTTCCACACTCCCACAACCCTTTGTGTAAAGATGACCCTCATGTTTTCGGTTATAAAACACTTCCATGTAGCTTCCACTTGCAAGCTGTGGTTCGTGTTCAATAATGAGACTAAGACGTCACCTGGTTTTTCAGGTCTTAGCTGCTAAATTAAAAATCTTTGTAATACCCGCAGGAATGAGGTCATGCAAGATTGAAGTTGCTCATCTCCATCCTGTGATATGAAAACCCTGCACGAATTCAGAGATAAAAGCAGAACTTTGGTTCAAGGCTGTATACTAAGGCTCTTTACAAGACCATTTCTGTGTAATCAGAAGGGCTGAGATGTTAAAGACAGTCATTCTGGCTTTTCTGAGTAGCCTGCTACTGGTCAAAATTAGCTCTGACAGCCCAAGAGTACATACAGCAGCAGTGGAGAGTTCAGAGGAAAACAGATTGATTTCATCTTAATATCTCAGACACAAAATGGAAAGGAATGAAGTGACTAACAGCACAGACAGAAGCTATGTAAAATGCTGGCTTCCTTAATGTAAGGCAAGCATGTCATCTGTACATCTTACTTCATGTTGGCCAGACTGAACCCAGCATAGACTTTCATAGATTTTCATTCACCCAACTAAAGATTTCAGTGCAGAATTAATTCTGGTTCAAGGTAAAATGTGGTTTTGCTATACAACTACAAAACCTTACTCTATAGTGCTGTGTATACAATTCTGTCCTATAACAACATAATACATAAGAAAATACATAAATCTGTATAATAAAAACACATATATTGGCATAGCTCTTAGCTGGGGTATGCGAAAAGAAAAATTCCTAATGCAAGAAATTGTATACGGCTAATAAAGTGATCTTATCATATCTTATCTCTTACTCCAATATTTTGGCATCCCCGGTCCTGGTCCTGGAAAAGCACACATTTACTGGTTTTGGTTACAGTTCAGCTCTAAGTTATGGAATTGAACTCTTAATTGACTGAACAGGGATTAACAGGAGTTATGTTATCATACCGTGTTTCATACGTAATTAAAGATCTCCAACCTTTGAGAAGAGAAGAAAACTCTTTCAAAAGGATTCAGTCAGGCAACTCAGTTCAGTTTAAAGCTCAGATGGAATGTAACCCAGCAGGTCTGTGTGTCCCTAGGACTAGGACTGGGAATCATCCCCACCATACACACATCAGGAAATTCCCTGGAGATTGCCAAGAATCACATTTCCGCCAACAGTCAAGTGAAGAACTAAAAGGAATTCTAAAGTGAACAGAATTTCAGAAGGACAGAGGCCTGGAAGGACAATTTGTCAATTTGAGTACACAGCAAAAGCATTCTAGTTTTCCAAGAGCTCATCTCTTAACATAACAGGTCACTAACAATGGCTTCATTCATTTAATTAGATTCAACTCACACAACTGGCAAAGAAAAGTCAATGACAGCCAATGACAAGCAAACAGTTCACCCTGCTGCAGTACGATAAAAGCACACACAAAAAAACACCAGGAACTAAAAAACACTAGAAGAAAAAGATCCAGTATCCCTTTTAAGTGTCAGTTTACTTCCAAGAAAAGTCTTAAAAGGGGATCGAGACAGAAGGCACTGAAACTGGGCAGTCACCTGTCTCCAGTCATCTGCCAACTGGCAAGTCAAGGATAGGGAGTTGAAAACTCAACCTGGGCACATTTTCTCCCTTTTTAAAACATAAATACATTCTCTGCTGACCTCACTTTCAAAGTGTAGAAAGATCAGAAAATGCCAGAGGTTTTTAGCAGAATCTATTTGTTGTTCAGTGTGTTTTTATATGAACATGACCTACTGGCATCGTATGTACCAGAGGGTACACTTCAGACGAAAACCTTTATTAGATTAGAGAGGAGGAGATGAGACAACACTTACCTATAACTCTTTCTTCTCCAGGCAAAAGGGGGACATCTGCTAGTGTTTCCATTTTCAGACTTTCCCTTGAGGCCTGAAATTATAGGAATGAAAACACACTGTCACACTCAGCCAGTTAAGGTTGCACAATTGGCCAGTTCAAATCTTGGCTGCCACGCAACGTCGTGAAAGTCTCTTCCAAATACACTAAAATTACATGAAAGCCACAAAAACAATTTTAGCCCACTTTTAAGCTTTTTGAAACACGTTATATAAGGAAGAGCAGGTTTAGTTTGTTGCTGGGAAGTCCGAGTTTACTTTATTGATTATAGCCACAGTGTTTCGTTTTTGGTTAAAAAAGCTGGTAAAAATTCAAAGCATGGATCTTGATAAATAAGAAGTATTGTTCTGCACATCATGGAGGAATGCACGTACACTGCATAACGAGACCAATTTTTAAAGCCTTAGCCAGAAGTCACGGTTTTCTGACCGCACAACAGTACAATGAGCAGGTCAAAGGACATCTGGCAAAGGACCGTTCCATCCTATGCAAACACAGCCCTCGGCACTACCACAACCCCACACAATTCAAGCAAGTGCAGGGGGTGAAGCATCTGCTAGAGGAGATATACTGTAGTTTAAACCCGTTTGTTGTTTTGGAAGATGACTTAACGTCGCAGCAGGACAAAATAGGAGGCCACATCCCAGGAGCAGGAGTGTGAGAGCGTGAGAGCAAGATAAGTGTCTTTCCATTGCTTCAGGAGAGGTGTTAGGAAGGGGCCCAGCTTGCTGTATGAACGCACCTTCACTGGTATCAGGCAGCCTGTATTCTTACATATCCTTAGCGTGATGCTTAAAGGCCTCTCCCTCACTGGCCATCCTTGTCTCCTGACCCTACAGCTTAAGGATGGGCTTTAATGACGATATGTTCCACTGATCGAAAACTTCAGGAACTTTCAGGAAGCAATCCACAATTCTCAAACACACCGGGAATGTGCTGTCAACCATTGAACAACCAGTGAAAACAGCATTGTTCTTTTGATGCCTGTTATGTAACCACATATTAACTGCAAACTGATCTTTGGGTATACAAATGTAATGTCCTGTACTCTAATATTTGAGGGTTATTTCAGAAAATCGTCCCACCACTACTTACCTATATTTCCTTTTGGAGTTTGTCTAGCAAAGATATTGCCTATTATTTATTGCATATGTAATTAACTACAACATTCAAACATTTTCCAGCAGACTAAGGAACCCAAGATGGCGCCTTCTTAGCTCTTTTAGTAAAACATCAGTGCTTTCTTAGACAAGTTAGTCATTTTTGTCTCAAAAATGTTAATGGTTAATCAGATGAGCTGCACTGCCAGTTAACACCCTGTGCAGTGAGCAGACAAAGTCTAATGGACACCCTGAGGTCTTGGAGAAGCTGGATGTTACACATTTGTAGCATTTAAAGGGGAACTGCAGTCAAAATTTCTCAGACCGGTTATTAAATCTCAGTAACAAAATAAGTTCCTTGATGTTATAAAAACAATTGACAAATTTTGAATTAAGCACAAAATTGTGAACTTTTAGAAAGTACTGTAAGTGGCCATGTCACAAACTCACATTCGAGTTCCCAAGAATTGCGACGAGATGAAGCCCTTCCTGCTCACTAGTCCCTGTAATGACTAATGTAATGCGATGTATGAGCAAAGAAATACAGGTTCTGCAGCAGACATTTCACCACAGAAATGTTCCAACGTGATCTGCATGCAGAGTTAACAAGCAGTATTTGTCCCCAAAACCATCTTGAAATCATTAGCAATATTTGTGTTGGATTCAAAGAGATGTATTCACAAGCCTGCTTATTTACAGTGGCATTGAGCCAGTTCACTTCACCATACTGTAAGTCTTGTTGCTTCATTCTTGGATTTCTGGCATGGTGCTGCACATACCTGGAAATGTAGCCTATTTTTGTGATGTAGATCGGAGGTTTTATATGTTACTGTGTATAATTTACTTTTATTGAGGTCTGAAATGAACTCAGCAATGCTGAGTCTTTCTAGCTTCTAAATATGAAAATAGCTTTGCATTTCCCCTTTAATCTGTGCATGGGTTTGCAGTGGAAAGTGCCTTCTCATCAGGTGCTGTCCGAGCACCAGGAAAAGAACTGGTCAACAGGAATATTAAACGATCATTCTCTGAAAAGGCTGCGCAGGATATTATGAATGCAAGCATATATTTACTATAACATTAAAAATCTATCTAGGGTTCAGTCTTAGACGTGTCACCATGGTATATACTTCAGGTGCATGGTGCAATAAGTGGGTCTTCTTGCAAAAGAGGATGCCATGCAAACCTTTTAGTTTCTATTGCACTTTCGGCTAGTTATCTGTGCATTGTAATGTTTATTACTAATGTAGCTCCTGAGTTCTCACCCAGGATTCCAGGGTCAGTTTCAACAGATTTAAATAAACAAGATCAAATTCTGTTTCACCTTAATACCTTTCTTAAACAACAGACAGCCACTGACAAACCCTCCACCTCCAACAACACCAGTCAAACAGTCAAACTCCAACCTTAAATTGGTTTACTTGCTTTAATTCAAGTGTTCAATAAACCTAGCAAAAAAAAGTATTGCTGAACAAACGGTTTGACTTCAGGCTGTGATCAACAGATCAGTTCAGAGATGGAGGTGCCAGAATATAACTTTCATCTGTGGCATTATGTGAAAGAAACATGAATGTGCCTTAAACAGTGTTCTGAATAAGAATGTTCTGAGCATTAAGAATTGTGGCCAAAATACTACTACTGCTAATCAAATGCTGTTCACAGCATTTGCAGTCAACAAGAATGATATTGAATTTTGTTGCTTTAAACAAAACAACCGTCTACAGTAGTAAAAGTCAGATAGTCAGTTACAAGGCTACATAATGAACTTAAGATAGGGGATGTTGTTTAGATCTAACCATGTATAAGACCATACAACGTTCTGAAAAAAACGGGAATAATGACAAAGCTTTTAGGGAAAAGTATAGTATCCTGTGCATCAGAACAGAACTCAAAAACCAAACTACATGGCTGTAGAGGGCATTGAAGTGAACAGTGGAAAACTGCAATGCTGGAAATTTCAGCACCTCCTGTTCACAGACAGCAGCACCGAGTTGAGTCCAAAGATGGACACTGCTCTCCGTCACATCTCTGAAACCAATCTGATGGGTGCGTGCCCATCTTACAGAAAACGTAGCAAAAATTCTCTCTTAAACCAAATAAAAGAGGAAGCATGTAGTTTGGTAGGATACGCATGACGGACACATAAGGACAAAGAAGACAGACTGCCATCACAGACATGTTCCATTGTGGATACCTTCCAGTTTGGAGCTCAAGTTTTGCAGTGAGTCATTAATATATATATATAGACTAAACATCACCCTTTAAACCCCTCCTCAGTATTAAAGTGAAGCCAGTCATGTAAGAGCTTCTTCAACTATTTTAACAGGAAGTTCACTTAATCTTCATTTTACCTCAACAGAGAAAACACAGTTCAACTAAACAAAGTGTTTCACATAATACAGTACACCCTGACCTAGAAACGCAGCGGCAAACCACTCAATTAAGAACAAAGACACAGGCTGTTAATTATCATTATTGCTGATTTCACAGGCTGAGTTATTTCTGCCTTCCAGTTTTTCACGTTTTTCTATGAAGGCTGTGATGAATTTGCCACACGTACTGGCACCTTGAGTTAGCATATATAAATAAAAAAAAAATACAAAGAGATGGCAACTCACATTTTTACTGGAATTGTTTTCCAGGGAGTTTGAATTATATGCTGGTATAGAAGCCGAAGCCATAACTCAGGAGTCTGCTAAGGCGACACTGCAAAAACCAGAGGAAGACAAAATTGGTGACTTTTACAGATCAGAAGACAAGTAGGGACAGGATTGACCAGAGGGAATTTACACTTAACAATAAAATCTTGTGAAATGGCACTGCAACATTACAAACTGCCTTGTAAGCACAAAACCCAAATTTCCTTATCCACGACAGCATGCATCATAAAAGCAAGGACAAAAACAAAATCTACAACCGACGATAAAACAAACTTACAGCATAAGACATATGATAAATGTTAAAAAAAGACTTTTATTAGCCAAAAGCCATCTCCAGATCTATCACGTGAATGAAATAAAACAGGAAAATAAACGGACTTTTAAAGTTTAGCGTGCGTCAGTAGTTCTTCCCAAATCTTTAGAGTGAAATATATCTTAACAGCAGTGAAACTGATAACAAAACAGTAGCAGGACAGACTTTGCAGAACAGGTATTCGAGGCAGCATTAATGCACTCCATAATGAACTGAATCAGCAGGGTCAATTCAGTAGTCATGTATGTGTTATAATTTAAAAAAAAAACCAACTTAGAACTTATAGATTTTTTAATATCCTTAATGCAAGGCCACCACAGAGCAGATCTGGTGCAAAACCCTTAGCATATGTATAGAAGAACTATAACAAATGCACTTTAGAAATGCATGAAATGCAAAAATATGGACAGATGTGGACTGACTACTTTTGTTGTGCACCAATATTTCTCAATCATAGACTCGGACACTCTCGCACAGTGGATGTGCTCTGAAAGAACTTACTGAATCCATCGACCTTATGTTTTTAAAATCTTATTAGATTAGAACTTTACTCATAGTAATTATAGTTTGGAAGCTGGCGTTATGTTTAAATTGGCCGTCCTTTTATTGAGATGGAGGCTTTGAAATGCGATGACAATTGAGATTCACCGATGCATATGAATACATACTAAATATAAATCCAAATGTGCTCTGGGGCACAGGAGCTGATCACACTCAGGGTGGATGCACCTTCAGAATTGACTACGTTCACATGCTTGTGCTTTATAAAACCTCAACTCCCCTGAGGTGTCACGACCGTACTTAATGAGCGATCATAGCGAAAAAGCCAACAGGAACTCAGACTGCAAATTGTGAACTGCCACTTCCTGTAATCCTCATTAATCAGGCTCCCTCTGAAGTTTTGCACTACTGCATTGAATTGGGCTTGTTTAACAAGGGTAAGACATATTTCGTGACCTCACAGAACAAAAACTCTTGACGGAAAACTACTTTAACATGTTAAACAACAGTCCCGTTACTGTGAATAACTTGGTTTATAAAAACGAAGCCCCATTACGTACTTTGAATATTTAAATTTTTAAGCAGTGTCAAAAAAACAAGTCCGGCACTGTAACCTCACAGGAGTCAAACTGGGTCATACAATGGCTCATTGTATCATTCTACAGTCAAACAAAAGCTACAATTTCATGTTTGAAAATGTAAATTCGAATTAGGCTATGACTGCAAATACCTTTTATCCGCTTTCTTAAACTGTCAAAAACCAAAAACAGTGTTTTAAACATTAGCGTAGTAAAACAGAGTCCTGGTCTCAGGAAGGCTTTTGGTGGGGGTTCGGTCCCGAGCTCTGTGGTCCAGAAGTCACTTGTCCAAGTACAGATTATGCCACCAGCGGACTTGTAGGGTTATGGGAGTGAGGGACACACTATCCAGCTTTGTTATGGGAACAGAAACTCGGGCTTCTGTCGAGAACCAGCTCGATGATCCTGAGATCAATCAGCGACTAACTATCCAACGGGATCCAATGCGCTGAATGGCCTCCACTTGTTTGCGCCTTGTTTTGTGATTTTATGACTGTGCCCAGTATTCCCCAAATTGACACAAAACTGGGCGAGTCGGGTTAGGATTACTCAGCCTTGGCTCTCTCGGCTTGTCCCCATCTCACAATCCTCCTCTTGGATGATGAGCAGAGCTGGCAGGACTTTCCTATTACGCGAGAGCAAGCGTTATGTGTTGTGAAGGTTCTGTGTTCCTTAAAGACGGATCTTCGCTATCAAAACCTCTGAGCCTTGCATGATTCTGAAAAAGGGACTCCAGCATTGCTTTTGGTGTGGTTCTTCAGCTATCTTGTTACTTACTTCTTGCTACATTTAATTCTGTGCCCTCAAGCCTGCTTTTGTTCTAAAATTTCTAACTGTGTCACCCTTCCTGTTTCGGACAAAAATAATTCTTTGATTTCCGTTTTTTTAAAAAAACATCTAAAAATCTATTAGCAACTTTTACATTTCTCTTTCCACAGTGCACGGTACGAGGCTCAAAGTTGGTTACTGCTGTAATATGCCTGAAACAGACTGAAAGCATCAGCGAGTTTCCTGCAGGGAAATCTGCTGAAGACAAGCTACTGAATTAAAAAAAAAACATTTTACCAAAACACTATAGGTTTTTTCATACAAGCTCAAGTCTCCACAGCAAAGACCAATCATACACATACTCTGCCTGCACATGGACTCATAGCACTGAAGTCCAGGACACTCCCAGCCACATTAACTCAACCAAACCTTGGCAGCCAACATGCCACACCACTGCAACATTCCCAACTGATGCAGATCCATGCAGAATTGGCAACTTCCAGCTTACAATGCTGGACCTAAACTTAAAACACAAGGCTATCCGAGCCAAAAGCAGTCCCCTAGCTCTTCAGTTAAACAGTATTACAGTAAATTTCTGCTTGAGACAGACCTCCCTTTGAATATTATTGCAGACTAAGAGCAGTGGCAAACACTGCAATCTAGCTGGGCCCGATGGTCTTCGCTCAGTTGTAACTTTTCTCCTGGCTATCAACTCTGATTTCTGTTACGCCTCACAGAGATGTATTCTAATATAAAAACACCTGTATCCAGCGGTTCTAGTCCTTTATGCATGTAACTAAACAAGGTAAAAATGCTCTTTATTTTAAAATGTCAGCCAGTTGTGATTTCGCCTAAAACCATTAAATGCTCAGCCAAGCCTCTTCAACCAGTATACTGTTAAAATGGTTTTATAGTTTAAGAAGATTTTACCTGAATGTTTTAGTGTTTTTCCAGGTTGGAAATCATGATCTTAATATCTTAATACATCATCAATGTATGGCACTTCATTCCAAAGCTTTATTCTAACAAGAGAAGCTCAGAGAGCTCTAAAAAGGAAAAACAAAAGCCCTCAGACCAGGGCTGGACTTCCTTTTGTAGTTTATGGTGAGTTTCCACATGCAGAGAGATGCCGTGAGAGCTAAGTTATAGACACCAAAGTGTGAGCAATAGCAGAGTACCACCAAGCTTTTTATGCCAAACGTGCCAATGTTAAAACAAACCGAAACTCATGGGCATGCTCAGATTTTTAATCTAAAAACATCAACGATAAAACAATAAGATTTTTAACCTTCCACCATTTGTAATTTTAAAGAACCATTTTTGCAAAAGCAGGGTGTTAAATTGATAAATATTACCCATGCGTTATACGTGCCTTGTGAAGGGTGATAGTTTGATGTTGCAGTCTGAGCAGATATACCTGCACAGCTTTGCTGCTGTTCTCACAGTGCACAATTCCTTACAGCACGAGAAGCACCTTTCATTCTGAGCTTTTATTTACAGCACTAACTCATCACTGTGATACAAAGCCAAAAGAAAACTTTATTCCGCAAAATCCAGATTCCTAGCTACAGCAAAATGCCAAGCACTTACTTTTCTCCACCTCCTTAGTCAGGTTTAATTGCAGCTGTACAGTAACCAAGTATTCATTTAGTATCACCAGAAGTATTGCTTCGTCGTAATTATACACAAACGCAACTGTCATGAATGCTAAATGAATTTCAATAGCCGTAACCTAACGTTTCTAACTCATTAAAAGAAGAACAATCTTCAAGCTGCTCTTCTGGATGTCTTCTTTCCTGTATTTATAAAAGAGAGAAGAAACATCAGCTGCACTTATGGAGATATTTTTGTTATCTGCGGATTTTTTTTGTTATCCCACAGAAACCGGGCTAAAAACGCACATCCCGCTCTTGGTGCATCACAGCGAGGAAATGGGGAAAAGCTTTCTCCATCTTGTCACTTTCTGAACAGCCACTGTTGCTGTGGCTTCCTGTACCACAGTTTCACTTGGCTAAAACTAATATTGTCTTCAGCCTCAAACAGTCGGAATCTTTACTGGCTCGATCTCTGGCCGTGGCCAGTGGAATCAAGCTGTCTGGATTTTTCAACATTACACATTCACTTCTCAAAAAGAGTAGGGGTGTTACCCTGGTGTCCTGGCCAAATTTCCCTTTGGCCTTTACCAGGCGTGGCCTCCTAATAATCCCCATCTATGAACTGGCTTCATCACTCTGTTCTCCTCCCCACTGATAGCTGGTGTGTAGTGAGCAGACTGGCGCACCATGGCTGCCGTCACATCATCCAGGTGGGGCTGCACACTGGTGGTGGTGGAGGGGAGTCCCCATTACCTGTGAAGCGCTTTGAGTGAAGTGTCCAGAAAAGCCCTATATAAGTGTAAGGATCATTATTATTATTAGTAGTAGTAGTAGTAGTAGTATTATAACCCAATGGACAGTGGACAGCAAAGGGTTTTTAGAGAGGAATCACTGAACATCATAGGGAAGCAGTGTAGGCAGGGTCCTGTCCTTGCTGATCTAATTTACTATAAAGAATAAAAAAATAGAGTGATGTTCAGCGGAGTAAAACTGCTGAGGTCAGCTGCAGCACCACAGCTGAAGAGAGAAATACAGTATCAGCAAGGGGAACCCAGTATTGCAGACCAACACTGTCCAGATGTTCCTTCACAACCTGGGCTGTTACCATCACCCCAGGGAAGGTCTGAATGGTTATCCAGAGAAGACAGCACTAAAAAGCTGCTATAATTCCATAATTGGCTTACTTTTGAGTTATCACTATTTCCATCAACACAATATTCCCCACTACTTTATTGGAAAGAAAGAATCAAAAGGCAGGTCATAAAAACATAGTACTGTCAAAATCCATCCAGGCTGCAATTTAGGGGGGATAAATTTTGACACGAATAGTCTTAATAAATGGGACAATTCCATTGTACACCACCCCTCACTAATTTATCTTTAGCTTTGAATACAGCCTGTCAGCTCTATCAAAGGCTTAAAAGAAAATTCCTAGTAACAGCGACAACCCACAGAGCTTTTGAAAGATAAAGTAATATCTGCGAGATTGATGTCCCCCCAGAGGACTATAGAAAAACAGAATTCTGTTTCGCTTTGAAAAAGGGATTTTTACACAGTTATGCGTGTTCCTGTTGTTTTAGTTTTAGACGAGAGTTGAATTCTGGCCATGCAGCTCCTTCATTTTGCTTGCATTTTGGAAATTGTGGGTGCTTGTGTTAATTCTCATAGAAAATAATTATCTCCTTTTGACACCGCCTTTTCAGAACTGTTCGGGCGCCACAATCCAGCAGATCTTACAAAACTAAATCATCCTGTGCTCAGTGCTGGGAAGAGTTTTGGACAAATTTCATCTAATAATTAAGCCAAAGTAATACAGCTTCAATGAACTGCCTGGCTTGGAACATTTTCGATTAACCTGCCAGAATGAATTCTAATTATACAGCAATATACATGTAGCAAGATATTATATATATATACAGCACAATATTCAAATAACACAGCTAAACAAATGGGATGAAGTGTCAGTGGGACACATTAGTTGTAATATATTTTGGTGAAGGTGGTACAGTTTCACTACTGACACTTCTATCTGGCGTCTTTTATGAAACGGCTGAATGAAATCCTTAGGTCAATTAGCCACTACTGTAAATGGCCATATGGGCCGAATGGTCACCTCTCGTTTGTTACCTTTTTATGTTTTCACGGGTATGATACGCTTTTGTTTTTGTAAATCACGTAATACGTTTATCCAACATAGTTGGACCATTTCACGTCACTGCGACTACTAAATACTGTTATTACTCTTCATTACAGTGAAGACCAAACACGAAAATTTGTTTACTTCCAAAAATGCACAATTTGGATATTTTTCCTCAAAAGAGTCCGCATTGTACCTCATTTAAATGTTGTACACAGCATGAATTTCATTTCCTTTGATCATAATCTAGGTAGTTCGCGAATCTGTTCGCTTTGATTTTTCGGAACCACCGGCACGATAAGGCAGAATTAAAACTAAACAGTTTTTAATTGCGACTTTTAGTTTGGTCGAAAAAAAAACTTCCGGTCGGCCCGCCGGTGGAACAAGTCTGAGAGCAGCACAGCGGACGAAGACGCACAGCCACAGTTCAGTTTTGAATTACCATCCGAGCTATATTTAGTACAACGGTCGAGTTTCCAAAAAACGAACCAGACAGACATCGCAACAGCCAAGCTCTGCCTCTCCAAAAACCCCGCACTGTACCTCATGAACGAATGACTAACTTTGCTGTGTCGAACAATATAAAGTTAAGAGTCGAGTCCAGCCACCGACCTGCGCTGGGCAGAGTCGCAGCATCAGTCACACCAAGACACTATTTATAACCGTGACAGCTACTGCCTGGTAATGCGTAGCAGGGTGGTGGCAAGCTGAGCACAACCTTTATTAAAAGGCAGATCGGCCGCCCCCCGTTCAGTTCATTGCTTTCTTTGGCAAAGTTGCAGGCAACATTTCAGGGAAAAGTTGACGCTTTGGGAACAATGCACGTCGTAAATGCCAAATATTTAACTTGATGCACAATAAACGTCTCTCGAGGCGGGTGGGGGTCTTGGCACAGAGGGTCACTATAGATCTTACATTACTAACTTCCAAAACTGCCCAAATAAAGGCCTAGTTTTCTAGATGGCTGACTTACCGAAATAACCCCTTGATCATGTCGTGTCAGGCACTCCTCCCTCACACGGGGAACCTGAACCACCAGAGTCAAACGCACTAACGCGAGAGAGAATTAAGTCTCTTGATTTAGGCCGACAATAGTGATGAAAGAATGTATTGTCCGGAAAATAAACCGACAAAGATTCAAAATGGCAAATCAAACGTGTGTTGATCCTGTGTTCTTTCCGTTATTCGGATGTAAATCATATTTATATACAGTTCGCCTCAGTTCTTGTAAAACAGATTAAATCCACCACACTGAAGAAGAATTTTATCAGCCAGTGCTGATACCAAAGCGATGCAACATGAAGATTATCTCCAACCTTAACTCTAATTTTAACCTCTTTAGGCAATTTTTTCTAACTATACTGCACACGCCTTCCACAACTCCTGAAACACCCCAAGACGGACTTCAGACCGCTGTCAGACAGATAGGTAATCTGGTTTTAGAAGTGGCGTTTAAACGAGGGACAACTTCACCAAGACCCGCAATGGGTGAATCCCGCATGAACGAGACCACGAAACTCTGAATTATTTCACTGATCAAATTATCTTCATCCGTACTACCTTTCAGCAAAAATCCGATATTACAATTCTGATCACCGCCGTGAGAGAGGCGGGGGAAAGTACGTTTTCTCAACGTAGCTGACTAATAATAACAACATCAAGAACAATAACACAAAAATAAATTGGCCTGCTGTTTTCAGCTGCCTAATCTGCAAGTGCTTAATCTTTGTAGAAAATATGCATAAATTGCATCATGGACCTCATAAAAATAAACACAGTTTTGCCCTACTAGACTTCACATCAAAAGTTCCGAAGTGTTGCAGACACAACTTCAATAACTGCACCCATTTCGCACAGCACAGCAGCGATCATTGAACCAGGAAATACCACAGGCCTGAATCATGCACTTTCAACTCTGCTTCTAAGGCATGTCTAAAACCAGTGAACAACACAAAAACACCAGTAACAACTCCAAAACATAATGCTCGGAAACAAATTAAATCAATACATTTCGCCACTTACCCAGAAACCTGCGAATCAGTCCTATCTCCTTGCCACTGCCTCTGTTTCTGCACCGCTGCTGGGACTTCGCTACCAGTCATGTGACCGCGTCCATTACGCCAGGATTGGTCGTCTCGGAAGGCGAATCTCGCAAAGCTCCTTGGGACATGTAGTCATTTTCGTTTTTAGCTTCACAGGTAATCGTTCTACGATTCAGTTGACTGAAAGCCCAATTATCCAGAAAGATAACTATAACACAATGATATATTTAGTATTTTCTACACGAACGTCAGGTGAAATGATGAGGACGTTGTAGTTGTAAACTGAAACACTTTGTGTAGGTGAAGTAGTAATGATATAATTTTATTTATGAAAACTTACAGGACATTTCACCCACACACACTAAAGAAGAAATACACATACAAAGAAACAGACAAGAGCCCGGCAAACTAGTTGCAAAAACCAAGAGTACAAGTAAATTACAGATTAAATGCTTTAATGAACAGACAGGTCTTGGTAAGGAAATATGAATGTCAGTCACATTACAGTAGCAGTGAAACCCAAGTCCTTGAATAATGTGACCGGGAGGAAACATGCAAGAACTATACAGGAAATAGTCCTCTGGGACACCTTAAGAAAGTGAGACAAATAGCCAAGATTTTTGATTTGGCCCTTAGCCATTAAATAGGAGCCACACCAATGCAGGGAAGAACTAGTGATCCAAACATTTTCCATGTGATCCAACAGGATAATATGATTTAAAGTAAAAATAAAATCTTCACCTGATTAAAAATGATAATATTAAGTGACCTAGAGTTAGAAACAATAGGCAATTCATCTTAACTGCCTTAAGAAGCACTTTGTTTCTGTCTAAACCCTGACAGAAAAGGTTCAAAGAGCTTATTAATTCCAAACTGAAATAGTAGCTGAACTGCCCACTCTGTTCCAGGGTTGTTGTAAAAAAAAAGGGCAAATTGTGTCCAACCCCATTTTAATTTAGCAGCCTACAGCCACAAAATTAGATTATGGGGTCCCATTGATGAGGTTGGTAACAAATCAATAAAGAGTTGGGAAGCTGGGTGTGAGTAGGGGTGTAGGAACAGTGTCCAGCACACAGGCAGGGGGTCTTATTTTAGATACCAGCTCAGTCACATGAGCAGGAGAAGTAAAATGAGAGGAGCCCACACCTGTGAGGGCAGTACTGGTTGTAGGTGTCTAGCCTGGAGGAGGTAAGGACAACAGCTGTTTAATAATATGTATATGTTGTTGGGAAAGACTTGTGTTGTTGCTGGTGGAAAACCCTAGAAAAAATTGGGGACAGGTGCTGTAGGATTATTGCCTCAATAAGACTGGAAGAGAAGAAGATCTGGCTGGCTTGAATGTATCTCCATGTATCTCTAAAGAACAGCTGAGGTTGTCTGTAGTTCTGTGTAATCTATCACTTACATCAATATTGTGCCTTTAATTCTAATTCTAAATTAACTGCTTCTGAGCGAAATGTGGTGCTGTCCAGTACAGAACATTGTACCTGCAAATCACAACAAAATGTTCTGTCCACTATTTCTTAGAGATAGTAAACTAGGGGAACTTCAGGTAAACTAGGGGAGCCTAACTGGGGTCTCCAGCAAGTTTTATACTCTCTTTTTAAAGAGCTTTTTTTAAATCTTCAGCTTCTTATTGACAAGGAAAGGCTTTAACTTGTCCAATTAACCATATAATAAGTTCAATTATATAATTAAGGGCTCAGGTAGGAGAATAAACAGAAACATGCTGGCCTCCCAGGAATGCAGTTGTTTAAACAAAGCAGATTATGCAACGCTGTGTGTGTGGCAGGGGTCCCCAAATTCAGTCTTGTGGGTTGCTTTCCTGTAGAATTCTAGCTCTTTAATAAAATCAGCAGCACATGAAGAGCTGAAAAGCTGTTCAGCTGCTCCGATTAAGCCAATAATGAATTCAATTAATTAAGGAGGTGTAAAGTAATATTGTGTTTGAACAGTGATTTGATCATCTGTGAAAACCGGTTGTCCCAATTAATAAATGTGTCCAAAGAATGTTTTAATTTACTCGGTCTGTTTTCTTAATGTAATGATTGCGTGTTCCCCAGGAACAAATGGAGAGTACATGATTGTCTTTCTGTTATGATGACAGATGGACTTTGGACTGCTGGGCTGTCACAGCAAGTAGTCTATACAGGAACTGCCCCATACGCGAAGAATTTCCAAGGGGAGCTTCATGCTGTCTGTGCCAGTGATCATCCCTTCAGTGGTGCCCTTTGAGTTATAGCAGAGCAGCCAGTTCCTGAGCAAATGCAATTATTGGGATCTTTTATGCAGGGATTGTTGGTATTAATTCCATTCCTGTTGTCCACAATACCCCCAAAAGTGCTGCTTAAGTGCACTGGTACAGGCAGAACAACTCAATTCATATTTTTCCATCTATGGTTCTTGTTTAAGATGCTTTCCTTTCAGACTTGGGTATCTACCTACTTATGTAAAAGTGTGCTGAGTATGTAAAACCGCTGTACTTTGCAGTCCTGTTAATTACTGGCAGAGCTACATTCAGGACGTATCAGGTCTTTTTTTATACTCTCTGGGCTGCTTCCTGCTTACTGATGGAAAAACATTAGTGCACAATCGTCCTTTAGGGCGCAGGATGTGTGACTGGAAGTTTGGGGGATCTGTAGCTGTCAGGTTCACCCAAATGGAAACTGTCAGTGACAGAAAGCACAATCAGCATCTTTTGTAGTATGAGATGAGTGCGTAACTGCAGACTTCATCTCACAAGGCTGTCAGGGGAACTGAGATGCTAGCTGCAGGGGGACAGAGGGTAGCTGTCGCTAAAGACTGGAGCAGGTGAATTCGTCTCATGTGTGCTCCGATACCGTAAATGACAACTGAGCTTTCAGAATCAGTTTCCCTGTTTTGCCTCAACAGGTCCGCGTTTCAGTTTGGCACACAGTGATAGCCAAATAAGATTAAGGTTGCCTCTGCCATTTGTAAAGGTGACATTATTTTCCAAATAGAACAAAGAAAATCACAACTGGCCAGGCGACGCAGCTCAAGCTCACAGGAAGTAGCGGTGGGACTGTCTTGTCACGGTCGAACTGAGCTTGCAGATTGTAAGAAAGAAATGTGTGACTTTGAAGCTTGCACATAGTAACAACAACATTTCAGCAGGGATCAGCAATATTTCAGCCACTTTTCATTTTTTTGTAACAGTGAAAGCAAAGGAACAATTACCAAGATTAAAAGGACTGTCGATATTTCTGGAAACTGATGTCCCAAATGCAGGAAAACATTTAGTAATAATAATAATAATAATAATAATAATAATAATAATAATAATAATAATAATAATAATAATAATAATAATAGAACACTTTTCATCCTATTTCATCCGAAAGGAGCTGATGTAAAATCAGAGGGAGAAGTGAGAAATTGCTTCATCAGCTGAATTAAAGGGGCACTTTGGGTAACCAGACTGTAGAAGTGCAAAGTGGAATAATTTGCCAGAACACCAGAGTTAACAGCCCTACTCTTAAGAACAGAGCCCTGGGATCTTTATTGACCAAGCAGTTGGGTCCTTGGTTTTCATGTTGCCTCTGAAGGACAGTAGTACCTCCTACAGCACAGTAGGAAGTCACCGTACTGGGTTTGGAAGTTTTCTTCCATGGGGCAGAGCGCCCCCCTGCTTGAAGAAATCATAGAGCAGGTCTGCAGAAATTAAAAAGTCCAGTAGCTGTGGGTAGACATGTACAGGTGTTGTTGCAGTCCAATAAAGACGGGCCTCTTTTCACCCTGTCTCTTACTGGGGTGCTACTCAACAATGGGTTTGAGCAGTTTTCACAAAATGCCATTGTTTCTGCCTTTCCGCTCTGGATTCTCAGAGAGGAAAGTTCCCTGCAAGCACAGTGTGTTTGTCACAGGGAATGACCAAGCGTTGGCTATATGTAACCTGTGTTTTTCACAAGGACCAAGCAGGAAATGTGGTCATATTAAAACAACTTTTCCAGGCCTCTGCCCAGTCCTGTATCCGGCTGAAATATCTTGGATATTTCCTGAGTCATGGTGAATTTTTTGATACACCCCTTGGCTTTGTGTCATGTAAATTTGGGCATTTTTTCTGGACTCTGCGTAGTCTAGGATTTTTAGTGCGCTGGGAAAGAGCTGTGGCTCCCATTCATGGAAGCACCCCTGTTACTGTAGGTGTGTTTGTCACTCTGAAGAGGTCTTGCTTCCTGCTTGCTATGGTGCAGTCACAGGAAACAAAACTGTGACCAACGGTTCACTTTGAGACAAGCAACTTCTTTCCCTTTTGTATTTTGGGAGGTTATTAACCATGAAACGTGAAAGGACAATAAATGCATCTCTCATGTGCTACAGACATTTTGTAGAAGTGAGTAATAATTCTGCACTTTATTATTTTTTGACTCAGGAAGTAGATCTCACTGACCATAAACATTGCGCATAGTAATAGAGAGAGGGTAGTTTTGCAGGGATGTTGGAAGAAATCAGAAGAGTTTGTGCAGTGTCCTGAGTGCACTGACACTCAGAAATGTAGGAGACCCTGATAATGGTAACTTAAATGTGTACTTTCAGACTTCAGACATTTATATATGAATTAACCATTACGAACTGCGCTTCAGAATGTGATCAGAAACTGCACAAGTATTAATACTTCAAAGGAAAGCAAGTGGTTAATGTTCTCGTTTGAGGATTTGTTATATAAGTAAAATTACTATTTTTTCTTTTTTTCTTTTTGTCCTCTATGTGAATGATTTCTTTTTTTGTTTGTACTTTAATGTATTATTGTGTTAACCACCCTGGTTAAGATAATGATCCGAAGAAGATAGGAAGGTTACAAACAAGTGGAGGCTGTTTGACTCATTCTGCTCATTGATCATTGATTGCTTGTATCTACAGAAAAGAACAGTGAAGATTACATGCAGCCAAGATTTCTTAATCCTCAAAGGCACTGGCACTGTCAACACAACGGGGTATCTTTGATACCTTTAAGGGCTACATGATCCAAATGGACTTTTTTCATTTTTTTTATTTAACCTTTTCATGTTTCTTAATGTTCTGAACCATTTCAAAATTTATTTGCATCTCCAGCAATGTTTGCTCTAATTTTAGCCAGTTTACTTTGGCCATTAATGTACTGTAAATTTCGAAGAACAATGATCCTAATACAAATCCATGGGGTACCCCATTTATTAGGCCAGCACAATTTTAGTATCTACCCTTAACTTAACTTATACCAGTTCTCAATCAAAATATGAAATAGAAATACGGTACAAGCTATTGCTGTAGTAATTTTTTTATGAAAGCCTTTATCAAAAGACTTCATAAATATAATTTCATTTGCTGTTAAAAATCGTTACTACTGGAAATCTTTACTGTTTAAAGAATTCTATATATACAGTATAAGAACTTGGGGCAATTTTCCCTTTTTTATTGATGGGTTTTCAATCAATGCCTTAAAAATATAGTGCTCAGGGGGCCTTCAAGAAAGGTTAAGACAAGTAATTTATGTTACCTGAGAAAGTAAAGTTTAGTCAAACAGGTTTCAAACTAGACATGCCAAAAGACAAATAGCACGTGAGATAGGGAAGCTGGTATTTTGGCTTCACACCATAGCCTGCCGTCTTCAATCTAATCGAAGAGGTTAACTGGGTAGGCTGATGGCTCACAGTTCCTGTGGGTTATTTTTAATTGTCTATCTTTATCACTCAGCATGCAGAAGAGCAGAAAATCAGGCCATTTGGTTTCCAGCAACTCAAAGAACTGCACCTCTTTTCTTGAAACACTTTAAAAATATATTTTTTTGCTAACAGGTGCCCTCAAATGAACTACTGCTTTCAGGAAACACAAAGGACATCTTTCTGGAGGTTTAATTTGGGTTGAAACTTTCCCAAGAACCAGAACTGATTCCTACACCAATCTCAGTGTATTTAAGTACTCTACACATCACGTTAACTCAAAATGTACAATACATACGCCTATTCCACATTTTAAATAGGGTATTTAATGCCAGCTTGAGTCTCCTGCATTACTGGCCACTTAATATCACCTACATTTAAAATGAACAATGTGTAGATGGATTTCAGACACATGTATCCATGTTCAGAGTGAAGGTTTTTTGAGTGGTGTCTATTTTTACACTTTAAAATTATTTGCAGTATTTCTATCTCCTGTTGTGACCAGGAGGCTTATAACATCCTCCCTTAGGTCAAATACTGTATTTTCCCCAAGAAAGCCTTTTTGTCTAATGTGGTCTTGGTTTTCTGACAAGTGACCATAGAGCGATAATTTCACTTCCACCTGAGCCTAGCAGATTTCAGCTCAAGCAGTGGAAAAGTGAGGTTCCTAATGAATTAGGGTATACAATAAATGCATAAGTAGAGAGTGACATGTCTGGACAAAGAGGGATGTACAAGTACCTCAGTAAGTGACAGTGTTCTAGAATAAGACCAGAGTAATAAAATAAATTGGTAGCACTACTATCTAAGCTCCACAAATGTTATCATCACAATTTACTTTACCGTATCCCTACCTTCCAGTTTTAATTACAGGGGAGCGCTTAATTACTGAAACCCTCACTTCAGGGAATATTACATTTTGAATTTTATACTTCTTATTAAACTCTTGCAAAGCATTACAAATTTCAATTCAGAAGGGTTTAGGAGCTGGCAACACTTTTCATGAAATGCCTTGATCACGCCGACTGAGAGAAAGTTTTAACTAGGCGTTCAATTAAACAACTAGGAGTTCAGCAGAGCAGAGACCAGATGTCACTATGTCTCCAGTACAAGCATCAACAGAGAAGAGTCCCTGCCTCAGATCAGGATTGAATTCATGAAAATAAGCAATAATCCATTATCCCACAGCTGATAGTCTCGGAGAGAGTCCTGGCAACCTGGAGATTATCCCATAACTACAGAGTGCCAGACAGGACTGTACTCTGGACACTATACCACCACAGTTCCTCACACTATCACAATATTAAATTTAGAGTAGAATGCTGATAACATTGCTTTACTATAGTAGTCATTCACAAAATAATGGATTATCTGTATACCTGTGTTGTTGTCTTCTCTTGCTTCCTGGTATCTGTTGTGATAGTAGCAGTAGTAACAGTTCTTCCAAGACCAAGATAACAGAACAATACCGTAGCTTCAAATGCAGGCAGAAGGGGAAGTGAAGGCTTTCCACAGCCCACTGTGGAATTTCCCTGCAGATTCTCCCGAACAGAGAGGTACTTTCACCACCTGTCTCTTTAAGGCCCAAACCTCTGGTTCTCTCTTCTGGTGGCACAGAATAAGCTTGTACTTGGACTATATGGAAAGGAATGTCCTCCAAACAGAGTAAACGCTGCCTGCTTTACAGATAGCAGAAATAGTTCAGGTGGGGAGCTGTGTCAGCATGCGTAGGTTGCAAAAGAACAAGTAATAGGTTTATTCCATGCTGAAAAAAACACACCCGAAGAAGGCTCCACGGCCGAAACGTTGTGTTCTCTTTCTTCTTTTTTTCAGATAGCAGAAATGCTGATTTTTCTCCCTAACAGCATACCACCTGCCAGTTTTAAACCTTAGTCAACAATACGCCTGTGTCTAAGGCATATAGGCTACTAAAAATAGAAAGAAGACATTTTTCATTGAGCCTTCTTCAGGCCTGACATAGGTGAAGGCTCGATGGCTGAAACATGTTTCTTCTTTTTACTTTACAGGACATTCAGCACAGCATGGATCCCTAAACTCATGCTGGTGCAATTCAAAAACTCGAGAGCAGGTGGCAGTAAAGTGAAGCCTTTCGAAAGATCCTCCACTATACAAAGTTGAAGATTCTCTTGCAAAATAAACGACTCGGAGAGCCTGATTTGTGCAGCCTTATTGTGGTGAATTGTGATGCTGACTGAGGATACAACAGAATAACCATCATATTAAATATTTTACATTTTCCATATTCTGAATTATATGCTGATAAATAATAACAATAACTGCTTAAACTTGACAGCAGCTAAAGTGCACCAGTATGCTCACCATATGTCAGCTATTAGTGTGAAGGACAACAGAGTAATGAAGCCAGTTCATAGATGAGAATTTTTAGGAAGCCATGACTGGTAAGGCCAATGGGAAATTTGGCCAGGATGTCTGAGTAACACCCCTACTCTTTACAAGAAACGCCCTAGGATTTTTGTTGACCACTGACCACTGACCACTTAGGACCACAGTTTTACACCTGTCACCTCTTGGAAGGACAGAGCCTTTATACAGTTTAGTGTCCCCATCACTATACTGGGGTATTAGGACCCACATTGACCTCAGGGTGAGCGCCCCCTGCTGGCCTCACTAACACTTCTTCCAGCAGCAACCTTAGTTTTTCCCAGGAGGTCTCCCATCCAGGTACTGACCAGGCTCACACCTGCTGAGCTTCAGTGGGTTGCCAGTTGCAGGGCAATAAGGCAGCAAGCAGATCTGAGCATAGACTCCCACAGAAATGATGGAACTAAATGTGGATTTAGACTATCAATGCATTGGGATTCTAACTCCATTCTGTTGCAGATAAAAAGTCCTTCATATTTTTCCTTGTAAAGAATAAAGAGTTAACTCCAGTGGTTGTTTGTACTATTCAAATGAACAATAAAAGGTGACAAAATGCATCTCAGGTTGTGCTGCTCCCAGGCAGGGGAGCACTGAGGCACATGGAGGTATTTGTGATTATGAAATAACCAAACTTTAATTGAGAAGGGAAATAGGCTACATTTATTGAGAAGTGTCAGTTTACTTGAAAAATTAAATATTAATTTAATTGTTTCTAGCTTAAACATTGCATCATTTACCTGTGAATGAATTAAGCATTTGCACTTTTCAAGCTCAACAAACAGCCAGCCAAAATGTGTGAAAGGTCTAAGTTATTTCCAGCAGGATATGAAACTTTCATTATTTACTTCCATTACTGTGGAAGACATGGTATTTTGTAGGAAATGTCACACAATAAACAAGAAGAAGCAAGATGCACGTAAGATGCGACACAAAGTACTGAGGTGACAAAAGGCCTTTTCTCAATTTATACAGTTTTATTTTGAAACTAAAAATATTAAGACAAAAGAAATGAACAATATTGCAAACTGTAATGGCTTATATTCATCTCTGTTAGAACAGAACCCACAAAATAAGGTGCCCACAGTCCTAATACTTGTAACAAAGAAATGTGTTTTTCAGCACACCGGGCTGCTGGAAAACAATCCAGCACACAAAAACAAACAGCTCCTCCCCCTCTCCATCCCACTAATACCCCACACTTAACTAGCAACTCATTCCAAAGGAAGATTACAAGACTGAAAAGTACTCAGGAGTCACAGCTAGTGGATCCCATGACCTGGGACAAAATGGAGAAGCAACATGGCCCACCTGGCAAGTTTTATTAGGATCTGTGCTTCATACTGGCTCAGTTCCAAGGTAAAGACAGATGCAAGTGACCATGGTACCATCGTTGATCAACTATGCAAACCAGTCTGACTGACAGCCTGTCTCCTCCTGTTCCAGCCTGGGAGAGCTCTCAATACTTTTAACTGCCTTTAGTTAGAGATGGAGTGCTTCCGTGAAACAGCCCCAGGACATGGGCTGCTATAACACCCCTCCAGTGAGCATTCATCAGTGCAGCGAAGCTACTGTACATCTCTACACATCACAAGACCCCAACAGGTTAAACAGTCAATAATACAACTGACCAAGGAGTATTGGGATGTTTTTGTTTTTAATGTTCCTTAGAAAAGACAAAAAATAAATTACAAAGAAATGACAATAAGAACTGCAGCCAGTCCAAAACCTGAACAAAACTGCTCTGATGGAAAACGTCTGTCCACCAGATTTAAATAAACTGCAGAGGACCTAGCAGCCTCAGCTCACTCAAACTCACTTGTTTGGGAAGAACTTTGCAGCTCAGCCGAAGAGCCACTGCTTTCATGCAGAAAGATAACATTCAGTGTGACTGAGAGCACAGCCAGGTGGTATTCTGTGAGGAAAGTAGCCAGAGCTTACAGTTTGATAAACATGTTACAGAGTGCGACTTAGACTCCAGACATGACAAAAACTCAGTATAATAAACTTAAAAAGAGTGCTGGGAGGAAAGGAGAGGGAGGTGGCACCAGGGTTCGAATTGAAGACAAACAGCTTTTTCTGAGCTTTCTACCTGTCCCCACACGCAAGCCTTTCAGCAGCGACCAGAGATTGTGTTATGTCAAAAACATAACAAATATTTTAACATTGTAATACACAGTATTACCAAAACTAACAGTATAGTCTGCATATTTAAAACAAATTAAAATAAATGAATTTTCCTATTATAAAACAAATCTGTTTTAAGCTATATTTGTTGTTGTTTTTTTTTTGTTTTGTTGGTTTTTATTTTATTTACAAAGGATTTTGGAAAAGAAGTATAAATACGGGTACTTCTTTTTTTATATGTATAGCTTAAGAAAACAATTTACAAAATAGTTTACTATGTACAATCCCCTGTACAAGCCCCTGCGGAACTAATAGAAAAACCATCGCCATAGCAGCAGCGCACTCTCCCGCCAGCCAAGGAAGTCATTTTTTTAGAGAGGACCTTGCCACAAACCAAACAACAGTTGCATGTCACCAAGGAGAGCCAGGAGGCTGCTGGGAAGCCGTCATGATGGACTGACAGTTTTAACCCTTTCACTGCTCAAGATCCCCCTTAATTCACGCGTGCTGGCCTGGTGACTGTGTCAGGTTCACCTTGTGAGGGATGAAAGAGAGATTCTAACACTAAACAGGCCAGACAGCTTAACGGAGAGAAGCAATGAGGAGGAAAAGTGCTTTTAAGTTCAGATTTTGTATATCTGTTTTGATGTCTTTCTCTCATACACGCACACTACAAAAAAAGTAAAAGAATAAATCTCTTGTTGCTTTCCGGGAAATGAGTCTGGATTGAACACCAATTGGAAAAGAAAGCACAGCCTGCTTTCACACCTAGTGGCGAACTTAAAAAACAAATCCTTAGTTATTTTTCCTTCTGGTGGAGTGGAGCAAGTTTCACACCACTTGATTTCTTTCTTTTTTGTAAATGGTGACCATGTTTTTAAGGTTTCTGAACATCTTCTTCTGCCTTTGTGCTGTAAACGGACACATTGCTCAGCCTCCTGCCTGCTGAGCCGTAGGAAGGTTACTGTACAAAAGAAGTGGTTTGGGGTCTCTAGCCACAGCCAATGCCTAATTGAGCTTTAGGTCCCAACAGCTTGATTGCTGAATAATATTGCGACCAAACCAAGAGCTGCCTGCTGTGAAGGCTTTTGTCTTGGTGAGTAAAAAAACCTGCAAATGTCACCCAAATGGCTGATTCTTCTCTATTTGGCTCAAGCATATTTTTCATTTTTGTTCGTGTTCAGCTGCATAGTGTTGTTATACACCTTGCTTTTTACCTCTGCATACAGCACAGTCCAGAAGGATAAACGAGCAGTTAATGGAAGATGTCTGGCAGCTAAGATCTAGAGATCAGGCCATCTCCCCTTGTTAATTCATTAAAAGCCTTCATGTATCATTCTAATGTCTGAAACATGACAAAGTCATAAAGTCCATACCAAGTTAAGTGTCGGGTCAAGGTTGTAGAGATGGAAGCATTTAGCAGATTGCTTCTCTGAAGCCATTGGAAATATTTTGGGGCCTAGATCCCTCATATATAACTAACTCACATTAGTACAAATCAGTACTTGTCAATCATTTTGCTTTAATTTAAACTCTTGATCATCTTACCTCTATAAGTTCTTGTCTGGTAAAAAAAAAAATGGTTACTTGTTTTTACTGTTGGAAGCTAATGGAGCCTGAAGATTTAACTGCCTGACCTTTCATCCAGACTAAATGGGCATGAGGCAAGCATCAGACCTTTCTTATACATTAACAGGTCGAAGCTACTGTCTGTTCATTTGTGGACCCTAGGTTATTTTAAAGTGATGGAGTCTTTTCAAAAAAAGACACTGACTGGTGTTGTTTTTCTGCTTTGCTTTTTTGTTTTTTTTAATATATTTTGTTTTAAGATTGTGCAGAAAAAAATACTCATCCCCAAAAGCTAAAGAGAAACCCAGGCCAAAACACAAACCTGGGTCAGGTTTCTTTCCCAAGGGTGATCTGTGAATGGCCAAGCGGTCAAAGATGGCTTTCTGACTTGTAAGATCTCGAGAAAAAAAAACACTTCTCCATACTCTAACAGTTTTTAAAGGGAGGGGATGTCTAGCTGCCAGAAGTGAGCAGTGTGTGTGATACTGAGATAAGTTTCTTTGGAGGTGGGCCCAGAAAAGTCTGTTTCAATTACAATGAAATGCCAGGATGCTTGTACTAGACCACTCACGTCTACTGAACTTCTTTGTTGCTATGTGGACATGGGCCAAATACTTTCTTTTTTTAAAAAAAATATAATGGAAAACAATAAGCAGACTCCCTTATGAACCATGTCTGCCTCTAATTTAAAAAATTAGGAAGGTTGCACACGTGTACGGAACGTTTCAGAATTTAAAAAATCTTACAAAAAAAGCGTGCCGAGATGTTCTTCTGTCCCATAGAGGATATTCTGTCTCGCTGTAGTTTAAAGTCCAGCAGTGAGTGGTGCAACACAGCAACACAGAATCAGTTATTTTGTTCTTTACAGTATATGCTGGTCAAATCTGGTAGTCAGAGGGTATATGGACTCACAAACACAACTGCCAGTGTACACGACAGATGTCACTTTATCAACTGTAACAAAAAGCACTGCTTGAAAAACACTGGTTCGATGCTCTTCAGCTGCTGATATTAGATTCGGTTACCGGGATAGAATGTAGACACAGAAAAGGGTATGGGCATCTTTAAAGATGCCAAAAGCACTTTTCCTCCAGCAGAAGGCGGTCCTAGGGTAAATTCAGAAATTTAGACAGGTGACAAACATGGGGGCCACTCAGTCCTTCTAGCCTGTTTGGTAGATATACTATTTCACTGACCTCCACTTTTTTTCTTGAAAGAAGTCAGGGTATCATTAATATATACATACACATGGCACCCAGATGCATGATAATCTACGCAGTTTCCCAGGGCCTGATCCCCATGAGCAGCTGGCAAGCCACTCCTCTGGAAAGGCAGCAGAGGAGAAAGAGAAAGGTGCCTTCCCCACATTGAACATAGTGCGCTGCTGCATTCGATATTACGAATTCACAAACCCATGCCATATTTATGGCTCTGTACATCCCCAACTAGCCCCGGACCCCAGCCCACCCCCCAGACACAGACAGTGGGATGTGGTTGCCTATGAGTTCTGCTCCAGGTACTCATCAATCATTGTCAGATTGTTGAGCCAGTCTTCATTGGAGCCCACCAGAGTGTCTATGAAGTCCACCTCGCTGATATTAGCTCCGCTGCCACCCGGCCCGGGCATTGTGCCATTGTTCTGGTGTTGGGTGAAGTCGTACTGGGGTAGCTTGGCACCTGGATTGCCCGTGCTATATCCCCCTGGATGTTTGCTGGAGGTGGGGTAGCTGGGGGGCGCAAGTCCTTGGGCAGGATGGACCTGGTTCAGGCCAGCCATGCCGGGTGGAACTGGCTTCATTCCTGCCATGGCGGACAAGGGTCCTCTGGTCCTCATTGAGTGTGCAGCCAGGGAGCTGAGAGCAGGGCCAGGCTGGGCAGGGCTCGGTTTCTGCATCTGCCTGACAGGTAGGTTGGGTGCGATTTGGTTGGGAGGGGCCCCAGGATGATGAGGGTATGGGGCGGGCATGCCAGGCCTCATGGACTGCTGGGGGAACATGGGACTGCCAGGGAAAGGCTGCAGGCTGTGGTCCATCTGCGCGTCGGAGCTCATCCGCGGCACCCCCTGCTGCGCCGGCCACATCTGAGGGTTGACCATGACCCGCGGCAAGCTGCCTCCCTGCTGCCCAAGAGCGTGTCTCAAGTGTGGCTGCGCCAGAGTGCTGGCGCCGAACGAGGAGGCTGCCACCGCTGTGCGGGCCGGCGTCTGGCTGTGCATCCCCATGCCCAACATGCTCTGGCTGGGCCGCAGGGGCATGTTGAAGTCGGAAGAAGGCGGCGGGTACATGCCCTGCTTGGCTCCTGGGTTGCCAGGAAAGGCGGCGATTGCGCGGCTGGGCTGGGAGAGAGGCCCTGCCGGCATGCCCATCCGGTTGGCAAGCATGGGGTTCTGCGAGAGCATGGAAGAGCTGGCAGGAGGGTTGGGCATGGAGTACCCACAGTCACCGGGAAGGGACCTGCCGACGCCTGAAAGCAAAACACAAATCATCTGAATCATTTGAAAACTCAAACACTGCTCCTCCAGCTCGCCTCAGCCATGAAGGAATGGTAAAACTGGCTTTTCAGAGCCAACATCCTGAATGGATGCTGATTCTATGAAAGGATGAGCTTATTGTATGCGATTCTTTTCTCCCGATATAACTGACGTTTTCTCACATAACATATCTGAATTTGAAAATGTGGAGAAAGATTTAACCAAAGACAAAAACTGCAAACGTAGCCATTAGTGGTTTCGCAAAATCCCAAAATAGAATTAAACACAATTCCTTTGTGGTTTAAAACAGTCACTCCCCTAATACCAAACATTTTCTGCAGACATTGTGCACAGTAGATTAAAAACTACTTCTAAATGCCTATTTTCATAGCAACACCTTCTTCCTGCTAATAATATCGCTGTTGCTTAAAATACAGTAGCTTCCATTCAAAAGACAACAGGATGAGTAAACATGTCCTTAACCTGCCTCTGGACAGGTGGGATGGAAAGTACAGTGCTTGTACTAAGGAGAAGTGCCTCTCAGTAGTGCCCTCTTGTTCAGTTCTCCACAAAGGGAAGATCAGGTCTAACTTGTTAGACTTGGCTGACTCGGAAGCTTGTTTTTTCTTATCTTCTGTATCTGTCTACTAGGGAAGTTCACTCCTGCTCCTGAGGGACTGAAGCTGACCAGGTTTGATAACTACCTTAAAATCCTCAATAAATGAAGACCTGGAAACAGGAGCACTTAAGTGAAGAACTGATTCATATCAAGTCTTTTGAATGTTCAGGATGTAGGATACAAAACAAATCAGAGGACAATGCAGCCCTGCAGGACCAGGAGTGAATACCAGTGCTCTAAAATGATCAGACTTCTGGGGCTCACGAGTAGCTCAACCAGTAAAGACACCCAATTGAGTGCAAGGTCACACCACAAGGGCCACAATCCACAGGTCTGAATCTAGGATACTGTAGGGTTGCAAGACATCACAGTGCAGTTCAGCAAGATGTTTGAAATATGTTTTAAATTGTGACAAAATAGGACATTTCCAGAGAACACACAGGAACAAACAGTAGTACATTTCCCTGTAATGTGGTGCACCCACACAAATACAAGCAGCTCTTACTACATGTAAGATATTCCTTATTGATTAATCAGGTTTAATCCTCCAGAAGGTTAACAGAGAAGCACTAACTTCTCAGCCTAAAAAGAAGGTGAGATTGATTTTAAAACCCAGCAGTGATTCATGATATTAGCTGAACAAAGAAGACAGATTTCACAAGGAAGAACACAACTTTAACCTGGTGCCCTGTGTGCTTACCTTGAAATGGGATCTGCTGGCACTCTGACATCTGGCCTCCATTCAGCTGATCCAGTGGTCGCTGCTTCTGAAACGAGTGCAATTTCTAGTCATTTCACACGACCCCAAAATCAGCCACTTCAAACTTCTTGCGCTACTCAGCTGATGTCTGTTCAGCAAAAGTAACCTGTACCATACAAATATGATTCCCGCTGTGATTCTGGGTAGGTGGAGGCTACAAGACAAGCCTTGTTAGGTGTTTTGTGGTTTCCCTGTTTATCAATGTTCTCTTGGTTTCTTACTCTAGTACAGCCTAAAAACCTTCGCATTGTTTATCTAGGCGCCCATAAATTAACACACAATAAGAGAGTCCTGGATAGAAAGAAAACAAAATAGAAAAGAAAGAGAAATGGCACACCCCAATACTTATCGGTTACCCCCAACACTTGCAAATACGTACTAATAACCATACAATATTAGCATCTGTTATTAGCAATCAGTCTATAGTCTACAGTTTACAATTACTTGAATGCCTGTACTATTTGCTGGATAGATGGTAAAAGCATAAATGATGAAGCTCCTGTGCCAAAATTAATTTGTATCTGTTTTTTTTCTTTTTCCTCAAACAAGTAACTTTGTCTCGTCAAACAGAAACGCAAAGCCATTTAGTCCCCACTACCATCATTGTGGTTCATTTTTGGCAACTTTTCGGCATTGTTAACTAAAATGAAAAACAGTTCTTTAATAAACACATTTTTTTGTCTTCAGTTTTGTCAATATCCCTTTCAACTGTTCTTAAAGGGCTTGCTTACTGTAACAGCTAGCAGGGCAGCTCAAAGAGCAGGCATAGTGGAATACCTGGGGTGTGGAGAATGCACAAGCGTTGACTTGGACAAACCACTGCATCTAGCACTTATCTTTTTCTTTTTTTTACATCTAGTGACACCCAAAGAAGGCTGCACAGCCGAAACGTGTTTCTTTTCTTCTCTGTTCAGCATGGAATAAACCTTTACTTATTGGATCTTGTACTTATGGTCATAGACTGCACCAAAATTCAAATTGCACAGACAAGAATGATGGGAAAATCATGAATCAAATGCCAAAACACTGAGACAGCGAATAAACTTTAAAAACAGCCTTTAAGACACCAGAGGCAGGGTCAAAGACTTAAAACAATGAGACACTGGATGTCTTCAGGACAGTGACGGTGTTAAGACAATCGGATCTCCTTACTTGCTTAAAAGAACAGAAAACTTTTCAGTGAGGAGAAATTATCAGCAATTTCATGCGCCACTGCAAGCACTGTAACCACCATGAAACAGGATGCGTGCGCAGTGGTGGAGAGTGAACCGGGCCTGGTTTGCGTGAAGACACCTGAATGACCAACCTGGGCTTGCTTCCTCATGAACTGGGTCTTGAAGAGGAGGCTGTAGCCGTTGCCCTGCCCCGGCCGGGGAGAAGCTCGTACCATGGACGACGGATCCTGTAGCCGAGGTGCCATGGCTGGACTCTGCTCCTGCAAGGCCACAGAGAGAGAGAGAGAGAGAGAGGGACTCAGACGAGTCTGCACAGCACTCGCAGCCAGGAAGGGTGGCCATCTTCCACGGCCAGTCAGAACACTGAAACTATGCATGGAAAGACCCTATCCTTACCCCGGTGCTTGGCAAAGAAGCTTTTTCGAGTGTTAAATTAAACACTTTTCAGGATGTTTCTGACAAAAGCCCTCCAGCTGTATAGAAAGAAATGCAACCGCAGTTCAGTGTAGACCACCATCCATTTTAATAAACACCTTTGTCCAATATGCATTGATTTTATCATCATTGCAATCCTGTACCACATAAAAAAAACCTATATTTTCCTTTTATGTGCACCCTGTAGGTCGATCTGCTCCAAAAACATTTTCAAGTGTTATTTGTATACCTTCACGTTCCCCTTGCTGAAATAAACATGGCTGTGTTTCCTTTCAACTAGGGGGAACCGAGAGTGAAACTATTCAAGTTCCTTCAGCCTATCCTCATACTTCAAAGTTAACCAGAATCTCAAAGATTTACATTTTTACTTAAATATTTCCAATTTTTTTTAGTTTAACTTACATAAATCTCAGACTATGGTCATATTACATAGCTACTCCCCTGGGCAGAATTTTTTCTTTGTCTTCGAAGTTTAAGAGTTTTGCAAAAACCCCGTGAAATCTTTAAGGTTGGTTCCTACTTAAAACATATGAAGGGCTGTCTTTGTAGACTATGTACTGTCTGTTTTTTTTCCCCAGTCAACAAACAAACCGAGAAGGCTAAACAGGTGTAACACAAGCCCTCCAGGATGCTAGTATCTTGGATTTCGTAACTCCCACCTCGCCCCCTGTGCTTCTGGGTTGGGCTCTGGGATTCCCTGAGCCTCACCAGGAATAAGCTGCCTTTCAGATACAGAAAGGAATGGACTTCCACCTTTATCAATAAAGACATTTCAAAATTAACTGAATTTCATACAGTCCCTAATATTTGAAGCATATAATAAGACATGTTATGCAGCCATCCTCAGTACTGTACTTGAGGACAGCTCTTAAGAGTCACTTACAGAGGACAAAACGCAACATACTTCTCCCTACTGTATGATACCTCAGGATATAAATCGCCTGCCCTCCCATAAACACGCTCTCAAGTTCACATTATTATCTTGTAATACATTGCACTGCCTTCAACACTCAACTTGACAGGAGCCAATTCAACACTTTGTGTCTTTACTGCCTTTGCAGCAACTTCCTTAATGAGTCTCGATGCCTGTGAAAAGGAAATCAGTGAGAGAGAAAAACAATACCATGGGAAAGAACCTAGAAAAGTCAAGTGATTGGGCAGAGATCCCCACAGATATTGGAACCTTCTGAAAGGATGCGGGAGAAAAGCACCACTCGATCGTAAGGGGCTGCGTCTCCGTTCCCAAGACGGACAGACCAGAAATAAACTCATCGGCAGCCATTTTTCCTCTGTCTGTTTTTGTTGGCCAAAGCAACTCCCATTTCCATCCAGCAACCCCAGTGCCATGGACTTCCTTTGCGTGGAGGAATGAGGCCTGTGTGTCTCCTGCTTTTTCGGAATACTTGTGAGCAGGAGATAAAAATAAAACAAAGTTTCATAAGGCCTAAAGAAACTGAACTCTTGACTGGTGATAAAAAAGGAGAGGAGGAAAAAAAAATCAGGAAGAAGCCGAATTAGAGGCAACAAGCAGAAATGTTTCCGGGCGGTAGTTACCATCCGCCTAAACTGACCCCCTTACCCTTGAAATAAATTCTTTTGACAAACCCATTTTCTTTGAGCCAGGAGGAGGTTTTGACTGTCCAAAATGATCAATTCTGAGAATGCAGCATTCGGTCATGAGTGAACATTGAGCCAAATTAAAATCTGTATTTTGTGGTAAATGTTTGGCTGGTTGTGTAGGAAATGGGAGAGGAAAGAGAGGCGTGTAGTCTTCTGAATCCCCTTGACAAAAGCTGGCTACCCTCCATAACTGGACCCCCATCTGAAAGAGGGCACGTGATTAAACTGAACTGATACCCAACAGCGTGCTTACAGACTGCCATGGCCACTAGACAGCCTTGAAAACATTGGAAATGAGCAGCACCTCCCTCTACCCAAAGAGAATGGGATCCTACAACTTCCATCACCCACCACCGTATTCTCTACAGACATCCTAATATAACACTGGGATGCTCTGTATACACAGGGTGCTTACAGAGGTACCAGGCCTATTCAGACACCTACTCTGAGAGCCAAAGTACTGAGCAATGGAACTTAAGACATCCACAACCGTGAGGAATGTGATTCGGTGGACAGAATCTCTCTTCAGAGGAGAGGAAGATATACTGGTACAATGTGACCTCTGTCTGTGCCCCTGTCAGTGTGCATCCTGTGATGTCACGTGCCATTGTACTTGAGAGTATGTCCCCTGGCCCCAACTGTCGATGTATGAAATCCCACTGCAACAAGAGACATGGTCTACACAGTACAGGTGTTTCATTAGGCCCATTTACTTTAATAGCCCCCTGTATGTCAATCTGTGCATGGGTTTTCCCCACTCAAAACAGGAGTATTTGCCACCAGCTGTCTTCAGTAACAGCAGCATCTGGAGTATAAATAAATGCTGTCAGTGTCGAGAACTGACCGTAATCACATCCCTCATAAGCAATACTGCAGCAGCAGTTTGAAGAGTGCGGTTTTGAAACTGGGTGATGTCATGAGCTAAACATGTTGGCTGGCCTCGCAGCGCACCCAAACAAAGCAAAGTCAGTGCTGCGCAAAGTTCGACAAAGTCTGCTGTGTTGACAAAACACTCTCTCTCACAGACCTCTTGTCTGTAGGTTTAAAGTCGGCCCCCTTTTCACCTAGCACAACACCAAGGTGGCCTTCCAAAGAATGTTGCACTAGTAAAGTCCTTCCTTGGTTTGAAGGACTCCCAGCCCAAGCCTTACAGTCACATCTGCCCCAGTGCTGCCCTGAAAGCCTCTGCAATTTCAGTGCCTGTGTTTGGCTGGAAGCCAGAAAAGGCTATAAAAGGAAACAGCAGTTTGGTGTGGAAAAACACAGGAACTGCAAAACTGAGAGACGCTAACTGACATGGACACACGAACCTTGGGAATTACACGAGGGGTAACTTCCTTGTGGCAGTGTTGGGAAAAACATTTTAAAAAGTCTTAACTGGTTTGGCGGAACAGGTGGAAAAAGGCACAGTAGGAGGGATTCGGTTCATTATTTTAATGAATCAGGACGAAAACGCAGTGCCCTCGTTCTCCTCATTCCAATGCAGGCAGAGACCCCTTTCGGTGTCTGTCGAACAAGCTGCCTCTAGGGCTGAGCTGCAGGGAGGCAGGGAGACTGACTGCAACCAGCTCTGAAACGCCCAGCTCCCCTCTAAAAGAGCCATTTAATACAACTCTGATCGTTCTGATGTGGTGCTTGGGGCTCAGTATTCCAGAGAAGCAGCCAATAAAAGGAGGCCTTTCTTCCAGTGACAAAGAGTTTCCTAACGGAGAATGACAGACAAACAGATCCAGCAGTCACTCAGACGTGAAGGACTCCTCGTGTGTGTGTGGCACTGGCAGTTTTGCCATGCAGGCAAACATACAAGGAGAAGCTGAGCTTCACTTCTGAAAATAAGACTTGAAAACAGGCGTGCGCATGCGAGAGGGTAGGTTTCCATTTGCTCTGTGTTAACAGTAAACATGCTGCGGATGGCAAAACCTTGGCCTTGGAACAGTGGCTATTGCCAATGATTTCACAAGGTAGTGAATATGACATCACAGCAACAGACTCTTTACTGTTGGACTGTTGTTTTTTTACTGTGGGTGTCCAACCAGCTCCTTTCCTCCTTCGATATCATTACAGAGCTGACAATATGGTTGTCATGCTGTACAAAGTCAGTAGAACAGGCTGGCATCTGAATTAAACACAGTCATCTTTCTGGCATCTTTTCGGAAAATGGGTTTTGAATTGTTCCTTTGCAGTGAAAGGTCGCGCACTCAGATGACACAGACACAAGCTACCCACATCTTGCTGTTGAGATCCTAAACACTGAGCACTTCTGGACAGGAAGTCAGTACTTGTCCCGGGTCTTGTGAAGACTGAAAAAAAAATCTGCCTGCTGTCTGCAAGCACAGACGTTCCCCACTCTCCTTCTCCAGGTGTCGGAAAAGTGTTGTGGAGGGAGACAGAGACCCATTACAGCCCAGATGAAGTGACGAGAGGCCTATAAATGCAGCTGCTGTGAAGAAATATTTACAATCCCAGCCTAACAGCAGAGGCTGTGCTAAAATTATGTCCATAAATACTGTGAGCTGTGCATTTTGAACAACTGCAGCTCCACTCAATAAACCTTGTCTGTGGTCTAAACGACCAGAGAGGAGCATTATTATAAATGTGTCGCCTTTTCTCTGACCCTTAAAGGGCTGGCCATTGCTCCTGCAATATGTAACTCTTCATTGCTGTAGTCATTGAGTCACACTCGCACAGAATATTCTACTAACAGATGCCTCGCAAAAGGATCCCAGATTCCGCCATCGAGAAAAAGGTGTTAAGTGTTTCAGTGTTTGGCATTAGACTCAGCATACAAAGCTTTACCAGGTTGACTTTGGAGCTGAATTCTTCAGTTTAAAAAAAAAAGGAAAAGCATTGCTATACACACCAAACACATTAATCATGAAACATGAACTGCAGACCCGCAGAATATGATCCAATTCCTTTGAAATACAATCAAGTCATTAAGGTGACTTTCACAGAAGAGTGACTGCATCGTTAAAGAGTTCGGTAAACCAGACTGCCAAGCCAGGAAGATTTGTAGCCTGGCTGGGAAAGACTGACAGTGCCCCCCGCAATATTCACGACACTTTCAACTCTTTCCCTCGAAAACAAAATGAATCAGAAACTGGAGCTTCATAAAACACAAGCTGTGCTAACAATCTTTTTCCTCTTAAAGTGAAGTCACAAGGTGACCAGGGAAGATCCACATGCTGGGAGTCTTATCTAAAAG